TCAATAACGAAATTTCCGGGACACTATACACTATGAAGTTTCCATTGAATTAACTCTAGGCCTTAAGATCCATAGTAAATCACCCAAGTAACCAAACTGTTCTGGCAGTAATGGTAATTAGATTACAACCCCTCTGCTCCAAGAGGCTTTACCACACTGGTCTTTAAAAATAAAAGAATAAAGGAAAAAAAAAAAAAAGAAACCTAAGTTCCTGGGGTTACATTCACCCTTAATAAGGCCCAAATGAATGTAATCAGGCCCAGTCGGGAATGGACAAAAGATGCTTGTTTAAGGGGAAGGATCTCAAAAAGATACAGCGATCAGATCAGTCATTTGTGTATTCTTTTGCAAGGGGAGGGCTAGGAAACGGACACGGGCTTTCAGGTGCAGAACACAACCTCTATGCGCCAGAGGCTGCAGACAAGCTTGGGACAGCAACTGCGGGGCTGCCAACGCCAGCCGAGATCCCGGCTAGTTGCGGAGGGGGCAGGGCCGAGGCGGCGGTGAAGTGCAGGTGAGGCTGGCGAAGTCGCCCGGCTGGCCCAACGTGGCAGGGAGGGGCAGGGTGCCGCCCGCCCTCGGCCTACCCCCAGAGGCGGGGAGGAGCGGTCTGCGAGCCGTGCTGGAGCGATGGCCCGCGCGCCTCCATCCCTCTCCCCGCCCCCGGGACCTACCGTGGAACTCGAAGTGGCCGATGCTCTGGCCCTGAGTGTCTCGGGCCGCGGCGCTGCTGAAGCTGCCCCGCAGGGTTTTACCCTGGCTGCCCTGCGGCCACCAGCAGCACGTCAGGGCCACTGCCAGCAGCCGCAAACCCCCCATGCTCGCCTCCCGTTCGGCACCCGCACCCGGGGCCCTAACCGCCTGCGGCCGTCAGCCCCACGTCGGCAGCCGGAGGATGGGTGGGGCCAGGGCAGCGAGCCCGCCCCTCTGGAGACCAACAACCAATGAGGTGAGGTTTTCGCCACGAGCCAAGCATATTCACCAATCAGAGGCAGAAGTGGGCAGGGCGTGTAGATCCGCGCGTCCCATCACTTGCCAGGCTTCTGGCTAGTTCCCGCCTTTTTTTAATGGAGAATTTGGAAGATGTTGCTTCGGGTTACTGAAAGCTTTTGCCCTTGGTGCCCCAGCGCATGGTGTCAATACGCATGCGCGCGCTGCGCAGGTCCAAGGCACCTTGGAGCGGCTCTTGGGATTAGGAAATTGCTAATAAAACACGACAAGAGCATTCTCGTCAAAAAAAGAAAACTCCCTTATATTTGGAACCATGTTCTTTTTCTCCTCCATGCCTATATAATTTACTGAGCATGTCCACTTTAATGTTTCAAAGACACTTACATGTCTACAGTATAAAACATGAGTCTGGCACCCAACTGATTTTTCATCCCTAGGTTTCCTCTTTAATTATATCATCACTTAGCATGCCAGAGGGCTGAGAAATGGAGTTCTCTTTACTCCCTCATATCCCATGAATTCAATTGCAAATCTCTTCTGGTGACAGTAGGAAGCAGCAGCCTATGGCAGCGGACCTTCCTCCACTCTTCTCTAATAGGCTACAGTCCACCTCTTCCTTAGAACCACAGAAAACTTTAGGAAACAATATGATTGAATCACTTTCTTCAAAGGCTCTCAGTTGCCTTTAGCACACAATACAAACTCTTTAGAATATGGCTCTCTAGTCACTCAAATTTTAGTCTTTCTACTGATCTCCATCGTTATCATTGTCAGTCTACAAACACCTCACTTTCTCCCCTCTAGACCTTTGTCATTTGCAAATCCCTTTGACTGGAATAATTCTGCTTATCCTACCACTCAACCCTGTGTCTCACCTACTATATCCCCCTCACCTCCCAACCCTGTCAGTTTAAGAAGCCTCTGTGTTAGTTGTCCCTAGGTCTGAAATCCCTCACTTCCTTATCAGGGAACTTACTACACTATATGGTGTATGACTTGACTTATCTGAATCCCTCACTACATTGTTAGGTCCAGTGGGTCAGAGACTATTCCTGTCTTAGTGAAAGTAGGAACTCAAATATTGTTTCATGAATAAGTGCATATAAATTATTCTCATTCCAAAACACACTTTAAAAACGTATAGATAATTTCTCACAACACATCTCACAATTTAGAAAAGAAACTAGGGTAATACCTACTATGGTATACATAGCATTTTCAGTATCTCTGGCTGACCAGGAAAAAACTGGAGGTATTAATATTTGGGTATTTTAAAAACTGCGCTAGTTTTTTTTATTATAAAAGGAATTCATGCAGCTTAGAAAAATTCACGGTAAAATTTAAGTAAAACTTAAAGTTTCTATTTCCTCCTTTTCCCTCCCATATCCAATACCCAAAGATTACCCTTGTTAGTAGTTTAGGGTGGATCCTTTTAGACCAGTTGTTATAAATAATATGGTGTTAAATTAAATTAAATTAGACCTGAAGCTACCTTCAATCTTTGAGTTAATACATGGAGAACTGCAACTTAATTTAGTATATAAATGAACAGCAACTTAAGCAGAAGTATAGTCTTCTTACAAGTAACTGAGTCTCAATTATTGCAGGCGGGATTCAGCCAAACGCAGGCTGCCAACTGATCAGAAGACAACCATATCTGGCTGATGTGTTGTCATATCAAGTCCTGATAAGGCAAAATTGGAGATGTAACCAATTAAGCTGTTTCTGAATATCACTTCCTTCTCCTTTGCGAACTTCGTCTTTAAATATTTCCTGCCCATGTTGCTGGGTAGAGCTAAACTCTCTGAACCTTTCTTTCTTCTGAGTCTGCCCAACTCATGAATCATTCTCTGTTCAAATATACGCTGCTAAATTTGTCTGAATTGTCTTTTAATAGTGTAACTTGTAAGTCAAAGAAAGGGATACAATTGGTGCCAAAGGAGAAGCCGAACCTGGGCCTTGAATGCTGGGGGACTTTCTCTCTCTCTCTCTCTCTCTCTCTCTCTCTCTCTCTTTTAATTTAGTTATAGTTGGACACAACACCTTTATTTTATTTATCCTCATGTGGTGATGAGGATCGAACCCAGGGCCCCGAATGTGTTAGGCAAGTGCTCCACAGCTGAGCCACAATCCCAACCCTGGAGGACTTCTCTTTTTGTCTCTTATTTTCTTCCCTTCTTGATCAGCTTTGTTTTTTCTCTCCCTCTGAAGGCAGGTTTTCTGGTTCCTCAGTTCATTTAAAAGAATATGGCCACTAATAAGTTCCAAATTTGTAGGTCCTCAGAATTCATGAACAACCAGACTATTGTAGAACCTTAGTCCAATTTGACATCCCAGGAAGAGGCTTCAATTGGCCTAAGATGAGTCAGATCCCCATCCTTTGGCAGTGGATCAACTCGTGGAAATCATAAAGGGCAAGGTATTTAGGTCAGAAAAAAACTATAAGTATTCACGTCAATATATTTTGGTCAATATTTTCAATTATATCATATATTCCATGATAGTACAATCTTTTTAAAGTCTATGTATCAGTCCATTGTACTTAAAAAGATAGGCAATCTTACAGATTGTGTCCATTTTTCCTTATTAAATAATTCAGCAGTGAACAATTATCTATATTATACATCATGAAATTTGGGGGGCACAGACTATGTACACTTTAGATTTTCATTTATATTACCACTTTGCCCTCAAAACAAAAAGTTTGTAGCAAATAACACTTCCATAGACAGTGAATGTTCTTTTGTTGCTGTTGTTGTCTTTGCTAAAATACCATGTAGGGGGAAAAAAAGACATATCCTATTTTTACTAATTGTTTATTTTATGTCAGGCCTGGTCTTAGAGATTTGGAATTATCACAGTAAACAAAAAAGCCCTACCCTCATGGAAAAGAAGCAATGAACAATTCATCGAAGTATGTGTTGATGACTGCTATAGCAGCACAATTCACAATAGCTAAACTGTGGAACCAACATAGATGCCCTTCAGTAGATGAATGGATAAAGAAAATGTGGTATATATACACAATGGAATATTATTCCGCAATAAAAGAGAATAAAATCATGGCACTTGCAGGTAAATGGATGGCGTTGGAGAAGATAATGATAAGTGAAATTAACCAATATCAAAAAACCAAATGCCAAATGATTTCTCTGATTTAAGGATGCTGATCCATAGTATGCTGGCGGGAGGGGGTGGGCGGAGTGGGAGGATTAAATGAACTCTAAATAGGGCAAAAGGGAAAAGGGGAGGGGAGGGAAGGGAAGAGAGTGTGTATAGGGGTAGGAAAGACCGTGGAATGAATGGTCATCATTACCCTAAGTACACATAAGACGACCCTAAGGATGTGACTCTACTTTGTGTACAACCAGAGATATGAAGAATTGTGCTCTATACATGTAATATAAGTTGTAATGCATTCTGGTGTCATATATAACAAATCAAAAATTTAAAAATAAATAAAATAAAACAGAGTAAGATGGTTCTATAGGGCTAGGATAGAGCTTGCTATTTTAATTGGGGTGGTCAGGAAAAGGACTCTAGTAGGATGACATTCGAGCTAAGAAATAAAGAAATAAAAACTAGGCACAGATTGGAGGAAAGTGCATTCAGGCTGGGGTGGAGTAAGCAAGAGGGGAGAATATTAGGATAATACCTAAGAGTAAGGCCTAGGGAACATCTTTATTATGATTGCAAGTAGTCTCCTATCTATCTTATTAATAATAACGATAAAAAATAAATTTGCAGTTGCAACCTCTTATTTCCACATTGCAAAAAGAGAACTCTGGAGTTCTCAGCTTAACTGGTGCGTAATCTCTGAAGAGGGGTGAAGTGCAAGAGCTAAAAGAAGGCACTTCTTCAAAACTCTGAACTTCCGTGTTTTAAGTAAAGCATAACTCGGGCTAGCAACAGTTGCCTGGAAAACGTTCCACACACTGCTCAACCCCAACTCCCTCAAGTACTCGCATTAGGTCTGGCTTTGGCCCAGAGGACCTGCGCCTGCGCGGTAGCCCTACGCGGCCGCTCCGGAAGCTGCGCCGACTTCTCTGTAACGTGTCAGTGGAACTAGGTGTGTCGCAAAAAGTCGCGGTGATACTTTCCTCTGGTCTTCAGACCCCGGCGCTTTACGGTGCTAGGCTCTGCCGCGCTGGGAGATGTCGGCGGAGGGCAGGGCGGAATCCCACGGTGCTCCCGGCAGCTTTGCGAAGCGGGTCCTGGTGACCGGGGGTGCTGGTTTCATGTAGGTATCAGCGCCGTCAGTTTCTCCCCGGAAACCCCAACCTTTTCCTGCGACTCTGCTTGCCGTTGGCAATTTGAGCCCGGCTTTGGGTGGGTCTCCCATAGGGGAGGTCCTAATGCACCTCCGGGAGCATCCTTCCCTTTCCTCTTTCCCTGGCTTGTGAGGACCTGGCTCTTTTGAAACTGTGACTTCTACCAAACGCCTGCCTCCCGAAGCAAGAGTACTGTAGTAATGTCCCCGCTTCTGCCTTGTCTGAGATGGACCTCCTGTCGCTGCCTGAAGTGTGCACAAGTTAGTTAAGCTGTCGCCCACGGCTTCCCATGCGCACCCCCAGCCTGACCCCAACTTCCATCACCACCAAGCACAGGCCTTTACGTATAGGCGCCTCCAAAATGATTGGGGATTATGAGAGGACTTATTTATTGTGCAAACTTCTAAAAATCCTTGGTTGCTGCTGACCTGCACTAGATGTTTGATCAGGTCCTTTCTCCTAATTCCAAAGTGTGTCCTCGATGTGACCACTTCTCACACTCCCCGCCTTCCACCCTAGTCCTCATTACCCGCTCCCCCCCCCCCACCTTTTGCCTAGACTACTCTTGATTGGTTTTACTGCTTCCGCTCTTGTTCCCTTAGAGTGTTCCTCACGCAGAGGTCAGTGTTTCACTAAGTCAGATCATGTTAGTGCATAGAATTTTACTCCAATGGTTCCTGCCCACTTTAAAGTAAAAACTTATTACCATATCTACAGGCTTATTTGGCCAAGCCTTACTTTTCCAACCCGATCTCTTGCTTTTCTATTCCTGGCATACTTACCCTCTTACGATTCTTGGAGCACACCAGGCTGGTGCCCCCTTATGTCTTGAGGCGTTTGCACTGGCTTCTCCTTCATTTCAGCTGCCTGTATCACTCAATTTGGGTTTTTACTTGGATATCACTTCCTCAAAGAGTTCTTGCCTGATCACACTATCTAAAATAACCCCTTTCCCAACTAACATACTTATCCTGCCTGATATTATATTGCATATTTGTGTTTCCTTGATTATTGCCTGCATCCCCATTCTAGAATGTAAACTCCATGAGGGCAGAGACTACTGTTCACTAAGCACTTGGCAGAATATCTGACCCATTTTCTGAAGGTCTTCAGTGATTGTTGAATGGATGAATGCAAAAATAATGAACAGGAAACTCCTACCCTCAAGAAACTCAGTGTCTAGTGGAAGAAGAGGAAATATGGGGATTGATTCTTATTTATTGCCTATTAGCATATTAATCATCCCTTCTAATCTGATGATCACTTGGTGGAGAGTACCAGGCATGCAAATTTCACTTATGAGAAGAGTATGAACATGTGAGAGTGCTGGTCCAGGAATGGTATGACCTAGAAAATGCTGTGAAAGAACTACCAGTGCACATCTTGATTTTATAATTTGGTCAATGCTTGCCGCTGTTCCGGAGGCCCCAGCATTTTAAGTGTTATAAAATTGGGTAGATCTTCCACTGAAATATGCCTCAGGTTCTACTGCAGGGCCCTCTGAAGCCCAGAGGCAAACAGGGGTTGGTTTCAATTGTTATTAGCCTGGGAAACCTACATTTTTTTTCAGGGACCCCCTTGAGAATTGTGGCTTATAACACCAAACTCTTGTACCAAGACACAGGAATTGCAGAAGTTACTGTAAACAGACAAATGACTGCTCATATTGATTTAATTTTTATGTAATCACATCTACAGTTCCTGAACAGGCACATTATAATTTCAGTGTAGTCACTCTGAGTAGCACCATTATGTTTTTCATCCAGCATTAACTTTCACACTCTAAAAGATGCATGGACAGTATAATTTGCTGAACTGATTTTTTTTCTTTATATCCAGAAACACTAAATTCTCTATTCTACATAGCATAAAGGGAGCGTAAGAGTCAGTTTATAGATGTTGTTGGTGAAAAGTGTACATGTGTGTATATTGATGTTGTTTCTGTTTTCTTGAAAACATTTAAAGTTATCTTTGATTATTTTCATAATAGTCAACAGCATAAGAAAATATTCAAGAGTCTAAAGGGGTTGAAATTTTCCACTCACAAGATGTCTTTTTTTTTCCTTATAGTGCATCACATGTGATTGTCTCTTTAGTAGAAGATTATCCAAATTATATGATCATAAATCTAGACAAGGTGAGTTTCATAAAAATAAGCTTCATGCACTGAAATTACAGTTCAATTTAATTACATTTTTTTTAAAAGTACCAGAATCCTGTTAGTTTTTTATTTAGTCTTTAGCTACTTGGGGGTCTGTATGGTCATGTGCTCATGCTGAATCTTTGGAAACTTTTACTTGTTATGCTAAGCCATAAAGTCAATGTTTTTTTGTTTGGTTTTTTTTTTTTTTTTTGTACTTGGGATCAAACCCAAGAACCCCATGCATGCTAGGCAAGTGCTCTATCACTGAGCCACATTCTCAGCCCTTATGTGCAGTATTTTTACCAGAAGAAAACTTTCACTCTTTCTAAATTCAGTATTTAGTAAAATGTGACTACCAGTTTTTTCTTGGTGTTGACGTGCTTTATTTGATTTAATTATTTAACTATGTAGTTTTATAATTATCATCACCTAGAAAATTGTACATGTTTATTTTACAAAATAAAATTTAGTTAAATTAATTTGGCTTTGTTGAGAATTCTGCAGTAATAATTGGAGTCTCCTTAAAGAATCTGAAAGCCCTAGTTGGAAATCATAGATTTTTTTTAATCTGAGCAAATACAAATGGCACAGATACAAATGGTTACCTTAATTTCCTAAAACACAATAGTTAAGAAGTACAGATAAAGAATAATCCTTAACTCTTAGGATTTTTTTTTTTTACTGTGTTACTAGTGAATAAGAATTCTTTTTTCCCTCATCTGTACACTGACTTACCAACAGTTAACTCAGGAACTCAGGACCAGGTATAATGAACTGTAGTATGTATAAAACAGGCATCATTTTTGATGACTAGTAACTTTTCTGTCAGGAGTAGTAAACTTTTTTAAACACCAGTGGCCACAGGCAAATTTGGGTAGGAACATATTTTAAAGTACACATTTATAAAAAGGCTTTTTTTTTTGGAGTCCAGTATTTTGAAAAGGTATCACATTACTTGTTTTTGTTTGTTTTTTGTTCAGTTTTTACTTGTAAGATGTCAGAAGCTGGGATGGGGATTAGTTGTAAAGTGCTTGCCTAGCATGCATCATGCATAAGGCCTAGGATTTGGTTCTCTAGCACCTCGATCAATGTATGTCAGAAGCTTAGAATGTGTAAAAGCATAGAGGAAACACACTTGAAGAGAATATGTTCTTGTATTACAATCATTAACATCTATAGTTTTAAAAATAAATTGGTATTTTATAGGAAGAGCTAATATTATCACTTTTTGTGTTACCCCTGGCCATCCTCTCTTTTTTTTTAAGCTGGATTACTGTGCAAGCTTAAAGAATCTTGAAACCATTTCTAACAAACAAAACTACAAATTCATAAAGGTATGGAAGTCTTCTTATAATTATTGAACTGTGCCTCTTTAGTCATACAGAGATTAAAATAGCTTCCTACTTACAAGCTTGTGTGTAAAGGGCTTGGCAGGCACACTTACTAAAGGCCTTTTAAAAGACCAAATAGTTAATTTCCAGAAGTACCACATGCTCTAGAGAATTCTACTTTTAGATATACCACATAAAAAATTGCATGTCATTTTTGATACCTTAGAAAATCTATGAGTAGCTGGGTGAATTTGTGTGGTTTTTAATTTTAAGTCCTCACTAGCCTGTTTAATAGTGCCTACCTGGGATTCAGAGTGGTTGGGGTGAAGTGTGGTGTCCTCCTGAAAGGCTAGCCAGACCATGAAGCACATGAGATAGTCTCTCCCCATGAGGGCACATGGCCTCTGGAAGGCTGGTTCTTAACTCACCATTCTTCAACAAGTCCCAAGTATAAACCAGAGCAGATCCTTTATTTGCAAAGGGAAATGTTACTTTCCAATGAAACTATGTTGTGATTTTATGTTCTTTTCTTTTAAAAATGATTTTACAGGGGCTGAGGTTGTGGCTCAGGGTAGAGCGCTCACCTAACATGGGCGAGGCCCTGGGTTCCATCCTCAGTACCACATAAAATAAATAAATAAAGATTTTGTGTCCAACTATGACTAAAAAATAAATATTTTTTTAAAAAAGTGATTTTACAAACTCTCTTTTAACCACAAAAAACACAAAAACATATTGAGCAATTAGTTCATAATTCTGTTCTGTGTAAAAGTATTTTCTTCAGTTACTAAAGGTTTTTTGAGAATATGTTTTTTCAGAAGAATTAAACCATAACTTTACTATTATTTTCCAATGTTCATTCCAGTTGTTATACTTACTTTAGATATATTTCAGTAATGGTTCTTTCAAATTTTTTAATACTATTTTCCTTTTTAATATACTAATCTTAGATTGTCAAGAATATAATGAAAAAATGTAGAAGTAGTTGGGTGGTCAATAAAATATTGTTTTATACTTATTTGCAAAAAATGCTTTGAATCGAATATCTGGAGAAATATATCACTACTGAACTTGTCTGACCATGTGGTTGAATGTTCAAGATATTCTCTATTGAACTGGGAAGTGGGAGATGGGGTGTGTTATAGCAAAAATGGTTTTGATGATGACAGTGCTCAGAGAAACCTAGTGTTTTCATGTTTGCTTTCTCATATAGGGTGACATTTGTGATTCTCACTTTGTGAAACTGCTTTTTGAAACAGAGAAAATAGATATAGTACTACATTTTGCTGCACAAACACATGTAGGTAAGCATTGTCTTATGCTCTAGTTGTGACTGGCATTTCTTTTTCCTCTTGTGGCTAACTAGACTAAATCCAAAGTCCAGAAGTAGAACTAAATAAATGGTTATCTAATATACATCTTTGTAAGAGGATATACATGTTACACCAGAAAAACAAGACTTTTGCTATGTCATTGATATATTTGGCACTTTTTAGATCACTTTTATTAGTGTGGGTTGAAATATAACCCTGAATAGATCTTAAAACTTTGAATCGAACCAAATTCAAACTGGTGATTACTTGTGAAAGGTAGGAATGAGGAAATGGGTCTTCAGCTGTAATTTTTATGTTGTTTTTCTTAAATTGGGTGGTGGATACACAGATGAATATTATGTTGTTATCTGTACTATTTTATGCATTTGAGATATTTTCTAATAATTTTCTGATATTGTTACAGTGAATACAACATATATTCAAAAGAATTTAGAAGTGAAATAAATAATGGTAATGTGAACACCCATGTAGCCATCATCCAAACAAAAATCAGAGTGTTGTCAGATCCTCTTTGGAATTGCACTGCTATTGCCTGCTGTCTGATTTATTTCCTTTGCTTTTCTCTGTAGTTTTTCTATTTATATTCTTTTCCCTAAGCATTATAAGTTTTGGCTTTTTAAATTTTATTTAAAAAACATATAAGGTGGTATGTAGATTTTTTTTCTTTTTAAAAATACATTTAGATTCATCTATCCATTTGGGTATAGGTATAGTTTGTTCGTTTTCAGTACTGTATAACATTCTAATTTAAGAATTGGCACAGTTTACTTAGATATTTCACTCCTGGCGGAAATTTGGGTTGTTTATGCTTTAGGGCAATTTTGAACAGTACTACTGTGAGCATTCTTACGCATATGTCATGGTACACATACGTACACATTCTGATACATAATTAGGATCATAAGATTTGTCTGTTTCAACATAAAAATATCAAACTGTTTTCCAGAGTATATTAATTTCTACTCCTCCAGTAATATGTAACTTCCTATTGCTCTAGATCTCAGCAAAATTTAGTTTTGTCAGATTTTTCCATTATTTCCAATCTCAGCAATGTGTGATTTGTCTTTTATTATATTTTAAATTTGTATTTTCCATAATTGCTAATAAATTTGAGTATTTTTAATGTTTTTTAATGTTTTTTGGTATTTTTAATGTTTAATGCTGTTGAAATCTTTTGTCCAGTTTTTAATTTTGTGGTTTATCTTTTTCCTCATCGAAAAAGATGTTTCCAGAATTAGTAATCATTTTGGGTGGTTGAACCATTTATCTTTTTTTTTTTTTTTAAATTTTAATATTTATTTATTTTTTTCGTTCTCGGCAGACCCAACATCTTTGTTGGTATGTGGTGCTGAGGATCGAACCCAGGCCGCACACATGCCAGGCGAGCACGCTACCGCTTGAGCCACATCCCCAGCCCCTATCTTTTTTTTTTAATATATTTTTTTTTAGTTGTAGATGGACACAATATCTTTATTTATTTATTTTTATGCGGTGCTGAGGATCGAACGCAGTGCCTCACATGGAAGGCAGGTGCTCTACCACTGAGCCACACCCCCGCCCCTGAACCATTTATTTAGGAAGTCATTTTCTTAAATGATGTATACACTTTGAAGTCCATTTCATTTGACATTGATGTGACTGTATCACTTTCTTGTGTATCTTTTTTTATTAGTGCATTAAAGTTATACATCACATGTCTTTTTCCATTCTCTTTTTTTCAACCCTTCTGGCTTTATGGCTTATCTGTTTCTTAAAAACAATGTGTATTTGGATCATAATTTTTATTTTAATTACTTTGAACATCCTTGATATTCATCCTCTTGCTTGCTTTTTAAAGGACTTAACTAAGAAATTGTTCTCTTTTTCTCCCTCTACTACTTTGGAAGATATATATTCTTTGTATTCTTTGAGTGGTTACCTTAGGAATTACACATGTATAATTAGCTTATTTAAGTGTAAAGTCCATAAAACCTTTGCCCTCCTCCCAGGTATGCATTTTAACACCATTTATTTATTCCCAACTGTATTTATCTAGAATTTTAAGTCTATCTTATTTTTCAATCCCATTACATATTTATTCCTACTATTTTGTGTAATCAGTATTACTATTTTGTTTTAGCAATATTCATTTTTAGAGGCTTGTAGATAATATTCAAATTATGTCATTATTATTATTATTTTTATTTTATATCTTCATACAAGTAGGTTTTCCACATAAATTATTAGGATGATTTAAGTGATACTGAAAAGCCAGGTTAACTGCTTGATACCTTTTGTTTATGTGGTAAGCTTTATTTGACTTGGTTTTTTACCACTCTCTTACTTTCTTTTTTCATTTTTTTTTTGTACAATTATGAATTCATAGAGTTGAACACTTTTGATTCTTTGTTTGTTTGTTTTAATCAATTTCAGTTTATATTCAAATTGACCCACTACTAGCCACAGAGAGCCAGAGTTGCTTCCTGGGTCCTTAGTAGTCCTTGTTGCTGTCTTATTCTTTGGTGTAGCAGGATGTTCTAGGTTTATCTTCAAGGTTTCTTCCAAGGATCTGGAAGCAACCCTTCTTCTAAGGACTGAGGTTCCTTTTAGTGGGAATAGTAGTTACAGGCCTCAGTCTGGGTATGTTCACTGTTACCAATTGGACATTGTTTCTAGGCTTTTTCAGTTAACTTCAGAGCTAAGGAATATTTATTTATTTGCCTATTTAAGATAAAATACATCATGAGTTCACAATGCATGAGTGCCTAACTCAAAGTTGTTATTAACCCCATGGGTCTTATATTTTCTTTCCCTTATCCTGAATACTTTGGTTCTCAATAGCACCATAATAATTTCTCATTTTCTTTTCTATTTCCCATTTCTTGGTACTGGGGATTGAACCTAGGGATGCTTTATCCCTAAGCTACATCCCAGGCTATTTTTATTTTATATTTTGAAGCAGGATCTCATTAAGTTGCTGAAGCTGGTCTTCAATTTGCAATCCTCCTGCTTCAGCCTCCAGAGTCTCTGCGAGTGCAGCTGTCTAACACTGCATTCACTTGTCATTTTTTAAAAATCCCATTACACAACAAAATAAGAATAACAATAGCAACATTTTCTGAAATGACAATGTTTTTTTTTGTTTTGTTTTGTTTTGTTCTTAGTAGTTTCCCACTAGGTCTATAGTCAAATTATTTTGTTTTATAGGTACTCAAAGCATGGTTATATAACTAAGTAAATTCATTGTTTGATTCATATTTTCCATCTTGCTTTTGAGTTTTAGAATTACTTTCTTTCTTTTTAATTGTTTTTCAGTTATGAAAAATATAAAATAGTTCCAAAGTCAAATCTACCATATAAGGAATATTTTTATAAGTCTGTCTTTGGCCCCTGCTCTTCTGTGTTCTACTCTCCCCTGTAGAACACTTTATATACATTTTAGTTTATTCTTTCTTTTAAAAGAATAGATATTCTGTGCCCCTCTTAGAGAAGTCATAATCTCGAACATACAGCTCTCTCCCTCTTGCCTTTTTTATTTGACAGTATATCTAGGACATCAGTCTATATGTACAGTGGTTAAGTTTACTTCCCACTGTTTTAAATAATGCTGGAGTAGATGGCTTTGTACTTGTGTCTTTTTGTATATTTTTAACTGATGTTGGGAAGATATGCCTAGAAGTTGAATTGCTGGGGGCATTAATCTTCTAGAATTGCCAGAACAAAGTACCACAGACTGAGGGCTTAGAGAACAAATTTATTTGCATTCTGGGGCCTGGGAGTCCAAGGTCAAGGTGTTGCCAGGCTTAATTTCCTCTGAGGCCACCTGCTGGGCTTACAGCTCCTTTGCATTTACTCTTTGCTCACAGGACCTTTCCTCTGTGTGCATTCCTGGCACCTCTTTTTAGGTGCAGATTCCTCTATACTAGGTAAATTGGACTGGGGTTCACCTTCAAGGCCTCATTTTAACTTAATCACATCTTTAAGGGCCCTAACTCCAAATATGCTCACATTCTGAAATATTGGCCAGGTATAGGGAGGTCAGGTGTCACTATACATTTTATGTAACAGTTCAGTTTATATCTTTGGGTTGGGGGATAAATGCATATTAATTTGGTTGGAAATTGCCAAATTTCCTTCCTTAGGGTTGTAAGCATTTTGCATACTCATTCCCAGTGTGCAGAATTAAGTCCCCCACACGCCACAAAGCCTCAGCAACAAAACATTTTGTTAAATTTTTTATTTTTTGTCATTGTGAGAAGTTATAAGTGGCATTCTCTGAGTTTGAAACTTGGGTTTTCCTTATAAATGAGGTTGAGCATCATAAGCTTAAGGACTATTTATATTTTTATATCTAAACTGTTTTGTATCCATTTTACTGTAGGATTGTTCTTATTTAGTTCTACAAGGTATTTATAGGTTGAATATATTAATGTTTTGTCTCTAGTAAGTTCAAATGTTTTTCCCAGTTTGTCTTTTTTATTTTGTTTCTAGTCTAGTTTTTTTTTTTTTTTTTTGGAGGGGGCAGGGGTTGACAATGAAAGATTTTTTTACAAGGTAAAATTTATTAATCTCTTCCTTTATTGTATGTGAATTGTGAGTCATAGTTAGGGAAGTTACCCCATTCCCTGGTAAAGCAGATGATTTATTCAGCATTTATTGATTTATTCAACATTTATTATTTTTATCAGTAACAAGTTGCTCTGAAATGCATAGCCCTCAAATTGTAGAAACTGGAAGTTTCAAAAATTTTTAAAATTTGAATACTTGAATTTTTAAATTTAGATGCATCATTTTGTATTTCCTTCTTTTTAGGATAAAATGTTTTTTGAAAATTTAACAGATTGTTTTCTAGCTTTTAAAATATTTATACATACTATATAATATAGGCTTACAGAAATAAATATCAATGCATATATATGTTATTTCCAAAACTATTTAATTATGATGAGTAAAGAGAAGGGAATAGTACTCTCTTAAAACTAGAATTGAGGGACTGGGGATGTAGCTCAGTGGTAGAGGGCTTGCCTAGCACGTGTGAAACACTGGGTTCCATCCTCAGCATTACATAAAAATAAATAAGTAAAATAAAGGTTTGTGTTCATCTACAACTAAAATAAAAAAATTTTAAAAACAAACAAACTGGAATTGATTGTTTGGTATTTGTTTTGTCCTTGGGTGAAATTGTTCTAGTTTTTTTCTCTTCTTTTAGATTTGTCATTTGTCCGGGCCTTTGAGTTTACCTACGTTAATGTTTATGGCACTCACGTTTTGGTAAGTGCTGCTCATGAAGCCAGAGTGGAGAAGTTTATTTATGTCAGCACAGATGAAGTATATGGAGGCAGTCTCGATAAGGTAAATAATTTACCTTTTCTAAGTTTACCTTAGAAAATCTACAACACCTGTTTACTTATCATGTACCATGATGCAGATCCGTCTTATTAAACCTGTTCTGCACTCTTCTCATCCTCACTCTCCAGAATTTTATACCATGGTCTCTTCTGTTCAAATCAAATACCATCCTAAATGGAGAACAGCCTAGTCTCCTATAGATTTATTCATAATTTGCCTGACAGATTACAAGACAGCAGCAAATATAACATTTTTTGTCTCAACCTCACAAACATGTAAGTTTACCAAGATGGCTTCAGAGTGGACAGACCGAAGCAGGAGTATGATAGGCTGCAGCAGGTTCCTATGTACCATTCTCTGCCAATCGGCAAACACATTGGAATATCCAGGGGCAAGTGTGAAATCATTGTAGAAAGTGGAATCTATTTTTTATCATTTCTAAATATTATACTTTTTTTGCACCAAAAGATGACTCCATTCTTCACAATTTATGTATTTTTTCTTTTCTCTTGTTTTTTGGGGAGATAAATATCTATGCTACTAGATACAGTGGCACTGAAATTAGGAAGGTACTAAAGGGAAATCTCAAAAGAATATGTATAAGTAACAATTATTGGATATTAACTGTTAAGGGTTATTAACTCTTTTAAGGTCATTCTCTGTACAATTGACATTTGAGGATGGTTGTGTGATCTTGTGCCATATTTAAAGGAAAACTGCAGGTAACATGAAATTATGCGGAAAAAATGTAGTTCCTCATATTTCTATAGTTTTAATCTCCAAATAACTACTGTGGCTGACCTATAGACCTCTAAAGACCCACCTAACCTTACCCAGTAAAAACTGTAGTTTTCCTTTATGGTAAGCCTATTTTTATGTTAGTTGAATTTTTTACTAGTACTTGTCATTTTAAAAAAGGTCTCTCAGATGCTTCTAATCTTTAGACCTGTGAGGGGTCATCAGACTGCTACTGGTTTCTACTCTGGCAGAGCTTTGAACTTGCATTGTGATAGAAGGATTCAGCATTATCTGGACAGGGGGTAAGGAAAGTCCAAATCTCTTCCAGTTCCAAATATTGTCATTTCATTCAAGAGACTTAAATTATTTGTTGATTATACATTATAATGGAGGAGACAAAAATATCATTCCCATGAGTCACTTATCTAGTGCCATTATTTAATTTAGATATATTGCATAGGATGTGCCCACAATCCTTTTTACCACCAAATAATTCTCTGATTTTGCTTGGGTGACCCTTACGCTGGTGAACTGCAGAATGTCCCAACAGTTACTATCAGTTCAGCTACACCAAGATTTCTAGAGGCTTCTCCAAGCAGATTGTAAATTAATTTCAAATGAAATCTGGCATCACCCTGAGGGAATTCTTACTTCACACTGTTGGGGAAGTTTACCAAGATGGCTTCAAAGTAGACTAACTTTATACAGTGCAGTTAAAAGACACACTTTTTACATTTAGCAATCAGCATGGACACAACAAAAAAGAAAAGCTACATTAAAACCCTGGGTTAGAATGCTTCATATTTTCCATAAAACAGAAACTAAAATAACCTGTTACAGAGTTCTCAGGTTTTTTTTTTTTTTCCTGTACATGAGAATTATCTAAACATCTTTGTAGTAACCAGGACCTGCCAGTACTGTGCTTTACTTGAGTTCACAGATCTGCTGTAACCTGCAGCTTCCCTGTCCCTTCTCTGCCTCTCCTCTCCTACTAAGCTTTGTTTTCTGACAGGCAGTAAAATATTCTGTCACCACCACAGCTCCTGCTGCTGCTGGAACCTCATGGCCACCTTGGGTTTATGGTTTGACAAAGTATTGGCTGTTACAATGGGTGATAATATTGAATGTTTCTATCACAGTGCAAGTTCAAAGCCCTGCCAGGAGGAGAAACAGCAGCTGGCTGATGCCACTCCACAGGTCCCCAGATCAGAAGTGTCTGGGAGAGGGCTGGGGTTGTGGCTCAGCAGTAGGATGCTCACCTAGCACGTGCAAGGCACTAGGTGCGATCCTCAGCACCACATAAAAATAAATAAAATAAAGATATAAAAAATATTTTTTAAAAAGTGTCTGGAAGACCTTTTTCAAAATGACCAAGTTTTCTCCCTTCTTAGATCCCAAATTTGAAGATTGATTGTTGCATTTGCCAAAATCATTGTTGCTCCCACTACCTCCAGAATTGCTTCTGTCTTTACCAGATCCATATAGATATCCCCACTACCACAATATTTGCCACCACCATGGCTACTATAAAAGTCACCATGACCACTGAATTTTCCTCCATGACCAGTGTTGTAACTATCACGAAAATTATTTCCATGGCCACCACCAGAGTTTCCAGATCCACTTCAGCCTCTTGGCTTGATGAAGCAGTAGCCATCTTGTTTCCAAAGGACTTTCCTCCCCTCAGAGTGTCCATTCCCAGAGGAGTATTTCTCAGTGACAGACTGACTCACAGACATGGCTGCCAGAGGTTATCAAAGCAAAGCGCTTTTTCTAGCCATTGCCTCAGTCAGTCCTGATTTCAGTTGCTTCAGTTTTCCCACATTGTTCAAAGTTATCTCTTAGGTCATATTCTTCAGTGTCTTTTATAATGCTGCCCACAAAGATCTTTTCCACAGTCGTGTGGGCTCCTGGCCTTGGAGAATCTTCTCTTGAGACAGCTTTCTAAGGTTCCACAATCCCATCTCCTTTGTACGGCCTCACATTCATGGCTGCACCCACCTCCTCCACAGAGGAGTAAGTGGCAAGCCCAGAGCCCCTGGAGTGTGTGGTGTTTGTATCTCTCATTACCACACAGTCTGAGTGTTCCACATTGTTCAGAATGGCTCCTCCAACTCCCATAGGTTGTTTCAAAAGTGCAGGCCTCCAGTGATCTCCAGGAGACCGTGACTTAGACATGGCTTCATGAGAAGAGAGACTTAATAGTGCTTAATTAGTGGCATCCATGGGCAGAAAGCTCTGTTTTTCACAGTCAGTTTTTATAGGGAACTCATTTTGTCTATATACACAAACACACACACACATATATGTGTGTTTTGGTTAAAACAGTGTGTGTGTGTGTGTGTGTGTGTGTGTGTGTGTGTGTATAGAAAACACATTGTCTCATATTATATACACACACACACACATATGTGTGTGTATATAAAATAAGACAAAATAATGAGTTCCATATATATATTTTTAAGCCAAAACACACACACTGAAAAAAAAAAGTCAAAAGTTTAAAAAGACCTCTAGTGAGAAAAAGGAGACCCTGACCACTTGTGGATCCCTAGTCCTCTGAGAAGTAGCCACTTTCAACTCTCTGCAGTTTTTATCAAACTTCTTCCTTCTAATTCCCTTTCCACTCTCTATCAGATCTGGCACAGTAGCCAGAATGATTCTTAAAATAGAAATCAGGTCATGGCGTTATTCTGTTCAAAATCTGTCAGTGTTTTCACAATGACCTTCCAGGGTTCAGGGTACTATTCTGCCGTCCGTCCAGCTCTCTGAGCTCATCTCCCATCTCTCTTCCTGAACAGCAGCTTTCCTGCAGGTCCTTTGGACATTCTTCTGTCTTAAAGCTTTTGTACTTGTTCTTCTCTCTGCCTGACTTACAGGGTTTCTGTGATCACTAAAGAAGTTACTGTGGGTGCATGTAAAGATTCAGATACACAGTGTTCAAGAAATGGTGTTTTTTAAAAAATGCTATAGTAAACAATTCAAGATCAAGTTTGTAATATGTTTTCTACTTAGAAAGTATATGTAGTACTTATTTTTTATCATAATATATCTTTTTAACATTAGGAATTTGATGAATCATCACCCAAACAACCTACAAATCCTTACGCATCATCCAAAGCAGCTGCTGAGTGTTTTGTACAGTCTTACTGGGAACGATACAAGGTAAGAACTGATTGCCGAAACTCTTGTACCATTTTATTATGGACTTAAGTGTTAAAATTCCAACTCAACTCTAGCAGCATTTTAGTTATCGGGTAGAAGACAGCTTGAGAAAATGTAGTACTAAGGAATGTAAGATAATTGATTTGTGTGTGTGTGTGTGTGTGTGTGTGTGTGGTGCTGGGGATTGAAACCAGGACCTTGTGCATGCTAGGCAAGCACTCAACCGACTGAGCTATATCCCCAGCCCAAGATTAATAGATTTTTATATTGTGTGGCCAAGATATGACTTAACTTTTCTTGTTCAGTTCATTATTAAAGGAATAGTTTGAATACATATTTTTTCCTATTTCAGTAATAGGTAGAGTGTTACAGGTATAGTGAAGGCCCTGTTGGAAACCCATGAGTAGAGGAAGACAGAGAGAGGGAGGACAGATTCCCTTCCCTGCCACATACTTCTCTGCTTGGTTCAGCACTCTTGGTTTCTCATGAATGGGAGATAGACCTTCCCCTGGTGCTCTGACAGTGTTGCTGTGGGAGCCTTAGCCAGTAGGATCATCATCTTGAGGCCAGTATCTTTGACTTCACACTGATCTTTGAGTTTTTAGGGGCTAGATTAGAAAGGCATTCAAGATCCTCTTGCTTTTTATGTTTTAGTAGCATTGGTCCTCTTCCCTTTTGTGGTAGCTCTAAAGGGTTGATACAGTGGAGAGAGCCAACTTGGTTACCATCTAGCTAAGCTTAGAGTCCTAGAGTTGGTTCTTGAAATGGTCAGATGGAAGAGTCCTCAGTATTCTGCTGGCAGAATTACAAACCTGCCTCCATCTGTGCCCATTCTCCCCTGTCCCAGTGAGGAGAATTGTCTTCATCCCCCTTTTGGACCCTTTGCTCTTATTGGAACCTCATCCTCTCCTGCCTTTCTAAGAACCGTACGTTAGAAACAGTCTCTTCGTTCTGTCTTCATGACATGTGGAATTATTTAAGCAAAGGTGCTTCTTTTTAAAAATTCTGTGTAGCTTTCTAATAATCACTATTATAATTGCCTTAATGTTGAATATTCTTTAAGTTTCCAGTTGTCATCACAAGGAGCAGTAATGTTTATGGACCACATCAGTATCCAGAAAAGGTAATTTTATTCCGAATTCATGGTGGTTGTTTTAGTGATTGTAATTTTTCTTTGTTTAAAATATCTTCTCATCATTTCTTTGTCCAAAAAATTTATGCTGTAATTATACATAATTATTCTGCACAGGCCATAGAATTAGGCAAATCTTCTCAGACTTTGAGTTTGAAGACTTGAATTTAAGTATCAACTTGATGCTCTCCAGCTGCCATGACCTAAGGCTCTTTGAGCATTGTCTTTAAATTGAGGGATAATGAAAATGCTTAGGAGTTTGAAGGATTCAGGTGATACATATGAAAATACCCTGTACTTCCTAGGACTACAGAATTTTCCCACTGCAGCCACCATGCTGCAGTTAAGGCTCTCAGTTTGCAATCTCCCCAGTACGTCAGGATGTATGGAAAGTTGAAAGCTAATTATTGATGCAGGAAGCTTATAGGTAAATTTGTATTATATCATTGGGTTAACTGTGCCCCAGCTCTTTTTTTTTTTTTCTTTCCAGAACTGAGTATTGTATCAGTTCTGGAAAGAAAAAAAAAAGTATCCAGGCCCCTTTACCATCTGTGCTATATCCCCAGACCATTTTATTTTAAATTTTGAGACAGGGTCTCACTAACTGTCCCAGGCTGGCCTTGAACATGCCATCCTGCCTCAGCCTTCTGGGCAGTGCTGTGATCACAAGTGGTGAGCACCACTGTGCCCAGCTCCCAACTCTTTTTGATTGTGATGTGCCTGAATGTCTTCCAGAAAGTAATAAGTAGAGAATAAAGAAATGTGCTAGATGGCTGGGAATCCCTGTGCTGTTGGTTCTGTGTCAGTAAGCCTGCTTTTAGGTAACTGTTGTCTGCTATGCCTAAATTTGGAGTCTGGATTTTCTCACTTCCAAGCTGGTTGTTTTGATCTGTTTGCCCAAAGAAAAGGGCCATTTCATGGTGTGCTGGTGTTCATATTCATATTGCTTAATTTTTGGAGTATCCTTATAAGTTTAATATAAATTTAGTAATTTCTTGCTTGCTATGTTTAACATAAGTTTTTTTTTTAATTCAAGGGTACTCTAATTTTTTATAAATCCCACAAGCACTTATTGAGTGAGTGGTTACATGTAAAGTGATAAATAAGATTCAATTCCTGCCTTTAGAAATCAACACAAAAGTGAACTTTGTGATGACAGAAAACTGTCCATGAAGACTTTCTCAGGTTCTTCCACTGTTGAAATAATTTTATCTTCAGAGAACTGCTTTTTGTGAAATAGCAAGCTATCTCGGAGTTCTCTCACTTATTGAGTATTTAGGTGTTTTTCATGAGTTCCTGGTAAAAAGAATTCAATTTTTTCCATATGTATAGTTTTCTAGTAATTATTTTTAATATATCATGAGTTCAGATTCATGTTAATGAGTAAATATTTGATGTTTAAAATGAATCTTAAATATTCTTTTAGGTCATTCCAAAATTTATATCTCTACTGCAACACAACAGAAAATGGTATGTTGTTTACCTTTGTACTGTATGCTTTTCTGATATGTTGATAGTATTTGGTAACAGTCTCTCTTGAAAATCAGTCTTAGAGTTGGAGGCCATGAGTTGAATGTCCCACCAAATTTAAGAGTTCCTTCTTCATTTAGTGTGGTAGTTTTTTGAATAATTATAAGCTATAATTCATTTCCATTATTTACTAAAATAATTTGTTTTTAAATGGCTTATTATAGATCTTTGAGCCATAGCATTAAAATTTGGTATCTGTCTTTACATAATTTTACTTTTTCAAAGGATTAATTTATATAGAACTATAGACATTTCTTTAAAATGAACTTGTAGTATAAAATTGACAAATATTTATCATGGGCCTATGTTTTCTGATTTTTTATTGAATAACCTCAGATGCTTTGGACATCATTGAAGAACTAAAGTTAAAATTTAAAAGAGCTGGGCTTGGATTGTGGCTCAGTTGGCAGAGTGCTTGCCCGGCACATGTGAGGCACTGGGTTCGATCCCCGGCACCACATAAAAATAAAATAAAGGCATGTGTCCATCTACTTGAAAAATATTTTTAAAGAGCTATTCATATTTTTGTGTTTTCAGTAAAAGGTTTTCAGGCTCTCTGTGGGAATTGTCTTCTCTTTACTTGTACCCAGGTGTTTTATCCTGTTTAGGAGCGCTTACATTTTTACATTTGATGATTCTGCTTCATTTAATCTGTTCAGCTGCATTCATGGATCAGGGCTTCAAACAAGAAATTTCCTTTATGCTACTGATGTAGTAGAAGCATTTCTTACTGTCCTCAAAAAGGGAAAACCAGGTGAAATTTACAACATTGGAACCAATTTTGAAATGTCAGTTGTCCAGCTCGCCAAAGAACTAATACAACTGGTACGTATCTTTTGTAAAAAGGTGGTGTTTACACAACTGTAACTAATCACTAATTTAGTCAGTAGTAGTTTACATTGATTTAATTTTAAAGTGAGTAAATGGAAAATGAAATTCATAATTATAGGTATCCCATATATGTCTTCACTTGAAGCTTTAGCATTCATTTAGTAACATTTTTTGAAAAGATAACTCATTAAATGTACCTGCCCTAATTGTAAGATACCTCAATTTTGTAAATATAGACTGTGTCTTAGAACCAAAGAATACTGATATGTAAAATAACTATGGTTATACATATATGTGAGGCAATATCAATTATAAATTATAGAGTTTAGTAGAAAGGGGAACCAAGTAATACCAAGTAATAACTAAAGGTCAGGAAAATTTGTTTTCTCCCATGATTTATACAATGTGTATTATTTTTGAACTTCAGGTAAAATTTAGGTTATGAAGTATAGGAAGCATATGTAAAGTATAAAAAGTATTTTTGCTGTCTCCCCTGCTTTGGGCAATTGTTTTTCTTGTCTTTTTAATCACCTATTAAATACCATTGTTATTCTCTAGTCTCATAGTTTGACTCAATAGCCTTCTGCATTTTGACAGATCAAAGAGACCAATTCAGAGTCTGAAATGGAAAATTGGGTTGATTATGTTAATGATAGGTGAGTAACAAGTGAAAACATTGGGAAAAGGTTGTGAAATCTTAGGTATTATAAATTATATGGGCTTAAATGAGAACTAGTTTATCTGTTTTGAATTTTCTGGTAAAATATTTTTTTTCCTAATTTTAAGTGTTACACAGATTAGGCACAGCACTGTTACTAGCTATGTGACTTAAAGAAGTTATCCAAGTCTGAGATGTCCTTCATTGTGAAATAGGGATAATATTATCTTACTTATAATGATATTTTAAGGTTTAATTATGTATATAAAATACTTGGATCAGAGCCTAGCACATAAATGTATGCATTTATTTTTTCATTCATCACACATTTCATAAGTTCCTTCTGTGTGCTAGGCACTGGAATTAAATTGTGGCTGAAATAAATCACAAAAAGTCTAAACCACAGAGAGGGTTAAGTGTTGGGGATTATGGTTTTTTTAATAACAAATTTTCTACAATAAGCATATCATTAGAGGGAATTATTCTAAACTTTAATTATGGTAAAGATGCATGAAAACATATTATCTCTCTTAATATTTAAATTTGTAAATATTTAGTTACAATGTTATTTTAAATCTCTTTTGTTTTTCTAAGACCTACCAATGATATGAGGTATCCAATGAAGTCAGAAAAAATTCATGGATTAGGATGGAAACCTAAAGTGCCTTGGAATGAAGGAATAAAGAAAACAAGTATGTTATAACTGGATATTTGGGGGGAAATTCAGAAAAATTAAAAGGAAAAGTGATGCATTTTTAGAACACCACACAAATTCAGCAGACTCTTCAAATTGTAACATTTAATATACTTCTCTAACAACACTACTATTTCCTGAGCATTTTGAATTTCAAAGTCTTTCTTTCTCTTATCATTAATCAAATACCTATTTAATTGATTCTGAAATACACAATTTTTCTTTCTTCATATCTGTGATAGGTATTTGTTTTATAATTGCTGATGTCTTATGATTATTATTGCAGCTTTCTTTCTCTTAGTAATATTTTAAATAAGTATCCATCTAGTATGGTCAGTGGTATTTTAGATTTCATGTAATATAAATACTTGTAATCCTTGAGTGTCTTGTCATTTTATATTGAAACAAATACAAAGCAAATTCAGATATGCAGAAAAATCTATTAAAATAAATAGAAAATCTGTATGTGTTAAAAGTCTATTTAGAAATGTACTCATGAGAAAAGATCTATCCAAATGTAGAAAAAAGTCTTTATTAAGAACATGATCCTGGGCTGGGTTGTGACTCAGTGGTAGAGTGCTCGCCTTGCATGTGTGAAGCCCTGGGTTCAATCCTCAGCACCACATAAAAATAAATTAAATAAAGGTATCATGTCCATCTATAACTAAAAAAAATTTTTAAAAAAGCATGTGATCCTATGTTCATACATAAATACATGACCAGTGTAACTCCACTTCATATATAACCACAAGAATGGGAAGTTATACTCCATTTATGTATGATATGTCAAAATACATTGTACAGTTATGAACTAAAAAGAACAAATAAATTTTTTTAAAATAGCAAATAGCAAGGCGTGGTGGTACACACCTATAACTCTAGTTCCCATAGGCTGAGGTAAGAGGATAGCAGGTTCAAGGCCAGCCTGCACAACTAAGCAAGACCCTGTCTCAACATAAAATATAAAGGATTGGGAATGTAAGTCAGTGATAGAGAGTGTCCGTGGTCAATCCCCAATAAAAACAATAAGAACAACAACAACAAAAAAAAAAACTTGAAATATAATAAACTTGGATTGAATATTAAAAAGCAAAATCAAAGAAAACGTTCAACTATTAGATTTTCTTTTAACTTTTAAAAAAATGCTTCTTGTGATAGTATGACATGAAATAATTTCATATATTAATAGAAGGAAGCTCACCGATCTCACTCTGCCTGTGATGCAGTATTACCATATTTATATGACCAAAGAGTACACTTTTTTATAAAATAACTTGTAAAAACCAGTACAAATGACCTGTCCCTCTCACCTCAAATTCCTTAAAATTAAAATGTCTTAAACAATTGTTATCAGCAGGTTCAGTATTGTAGAGCTTTTTAAAGAAAAAAAAAAGAAAATGAAGGATTGATTTTAAATTCTCATATTTTCAGCCAATAAAATGTCTTCTAACTTCATTAAGTTCAAAATCAGCTTATGTCAATGTACATACAGTCTTTGTCTGTTGCCCAGCTGATGAGCAAAACTTCTTATGTAGCAGGAACTCAGTTGTTTGTTGATTAATTGATGTTTAGTTTTTCATTTTTTATTTTTGTCTTTTGTTTTTCCTACCAGTTGAGTGGTACAGAGAGAATTTTCACAACTGGAAGAATGCAGAAAAGGCACTAGAACCCTTTCCTGTATAGCCAGCATTCATATACTTGGCATTGTTTTTCAGAGAAGAAGAAAATTATCCTACCTCAACAAATGGTATGAAATCAAGTGACCAAATGAAGTGCCCTCTTTTCATTTGGAATTAGATTCATCACTTTTTGTATTAAATTTAAATACAAAGTGCCTCATTCTTTGGAAGATTGTCAATTGGCACAGGATTTAAATGTCAGAATTCTTTCAGAAAACATCTTCTGGAAATTAGGAAGTAGTAGGCATAGACAGATATATCTAGGGGTGGGCCAGGAAGGAATCTCCTGGTTCTGAGAACAGCGCTGGGTGGATTGCAGCCTTGGCTGGCTTGGACCTCAGTTGGCTTCCCAGCCTTTACCAGTGCATAGAAGTCTTTTAAGTTTTTATTTATAGGAGAAGTAGGATGAGTATTATGCTGTAATTCAGCTTTTTTTTTTTTTTCAAGGAGTGATATTGTGCTTTAAAAATGGAACAAAATGAATGCATATTTAGCACTTTTTAGCTTTGGGTAATTTTGTAAAATGCTTTTTTAAAACAGAATTTAAAAGTTTTGTATTTTCAAAATCAGTTGTTGACCCCTATATAACCTGTATCAGAGAACTTTTATCACATGTTTACTGTTTATAATTATTTTATTTATAAAATTACCAGTATTTTAATATATTTAATGTAGAATGAGACATTTTAAGTAATGTATATTTTTATTTTGCTCTAGAGGAAATTTTTAAAATACTTGATTATGTATTATTTAATCACTCTGTCCTAAAGACTGTAAGTTGACTTGAAAAGTAACTGACTGGACACTGGGCTGAGAAAGTGAGAGAAAGCTGGTTTACCCCTCTGATTATCAAGAATACAGATTTCAAAGCTTGTCGCCTTGGGTCACTGGAGATACGGGCTGGAGCAGTTTCCCTCTATGTGGATTGTGTTGTTGCTAGAACCTCGGAGACTACGGGGCACCACTTTCTTCTTTGTGGAAGAGGATGTCAGAAACGGCAATTTGACTTTTACTTTGGAGGGCATGTCCTGGCACACCCTGATCATCAGACTCCTAAAAACTTTATTGAAATAGCAAGCCTCTGAATCATCATCAGGGTGAAAGAGAATTATCAATGCCACCAGTGTGCTCTCCTCTTCCTCTTAATCTTGCCTGGTCAGCCTGATGCCATCAATGTGATAGATCCATGTGACACTCTACAGGATATTCAGAAAATTCAAGTCTCCCAGGAAAACAGAACTAGTTCATGCAGCCCTTAGGTGAAACTGAGTGCAACTGTCTCCTTATCTTTTGTGATCAAGATGGAAATGTACACATTCACCAAGTCATTGGTGGAATACCATGTATCCTCACTAAGAAGATGCCCTGTGGGCACCACAGCCACTTTGGGGATTTGCTGCTTGTTTCAGCCGGCAGTTGTCTGCAGTTGCTCTCCAGGCTACCCACTTTCATTGGGGACCAGATAAATGAGTTAAATAGAGATGTGGTGGGGACCCACCTCTGCATCCTTGAGAGCCTCAAGGGTGACCTCATCCTCATCATCTCCAAGATATAATTTTGTTATTGATTTACTGTCTTGGCCATCGGAGTGGCCAGTTGGGGCAAGGCTGTCAAGTTAAGGTCAGGGCACTGATTGTGAAAACTTAGGACTCTGACATGTGCTTGGAAATATCTGGGTGGATGTCTTTAAAGATTTGACTCTGAAGTTTTTAACTATTAAGTCCTGAGTTTGGTCTTGGACTTTGTCTTTTCTCTACCTCGGGTGATAAGGTACTCATTTAATTGTCACTTGTTTGTTAATTACACTCAGCTTTTCCTTTCCTTCCCTTCCTTTCCCTTCTGTAGGTACTAGTACAGCATATTAAAGACCAATCAATGCCATTTTTCTGTATGACTTGTTCACCTGAGCTTTTCAAAATCCCAAATTATACCAAGCATGGCAGGACATTCTCCCTAGTCACCGTACATGGGAGTTTTAGTGATGAGGTAACTGCTTTGCATAAGGCAATGGTGCTCATGACCAGCAAGGCAGGAAGTGTTTCAGTTCCAAATCTGTCTTACCAGCTGCCCTGCTGGATCACTCTCAGAACCAGCTATGTCATTTGGATCCTCTGGAAAGCAGGGACTGAGACAGAGGGGCACAAGAAGTTTAAGGGGGAATGTTTAATGGGCAGAAGAAATTGTGAGGCACAGTACAGACCTCACAGCTGTAAAGAGAAGGGAGAGGAAGTAGGGCTGGTAGAGAAAGCCTCCAGCTGTGGTGCGGATCTGACAGGATGTCAGCTAACCCAACAGGGGCTCCAGAGTAAGATCACTTGTAGGAGAATCTCCCTACTGGGCAGAAAGGGCCAGGCTCCTGGATGTGCTCATTCATGGCCCAGTGAGCTCAGCAACAGCCGAGGGGAATCCAGAAGGCATTGCAAGGTGAGGCTGTTAGCCAACTGCGTTCTTGGCAGCGGAGTGACAAGCTCTCTCCAAGGGAATCCTGCATAATTGCCACCTGTCTGTTTACAGTAGCAAAGGGGGTCTTGGGATTTAATTGCTCTCAGTACAGATTTTCAACTAAACCACTGCCTTTAGTCCAATCCCTTACTCTCCTGAGCCTCTCTGGCATTCTGTTAGGTTACTAGCCTAATCTAGAGGTTCCCAGAAGGTTTTCTGGAGATGAAATTCAAAGTGGGTTGTAACGGATGGAAGGAAGTTGAAGTTAGTAGAGGAAGCTGAGGGTGAGTCAAGGCAGAGGGATTGGCAGAGTGAACGTGTTAAGTGGTGAATAATACTGTTGAGGGGATGGTGGATCCTCACTGTTACTCTAGCAGTCATTCTCAAAATGTGTCCCCAGGTCATTAGGAAATGCAAATTGAAAATATAGCACTTCACACTCACAAGGACGGTGAACTGCATTCTTAGCAGTAAGGACATAAGAAATTAGAACCCCGATGTCCTGCTGGTGGGAAGGTCAAGTGATGTAGCCACCATGGAAAATCATGTTGTGGTTCCCAAAAAGTTAAGTTGAATTGCCACATCCTCTTGCAGTTTCACTTGGCATAGTTGAAGGAAGTATGTCATTATGGGGACCATGGGGGACTATATCTTGTCTCTGACTCCTTTCTTCCCCTGTTTGCTTCATGAGTGCCATGAGCTGAGCAGCCCCCTATACCCTTCGGCCATGATGGTCTATATCCAAAAGAATTGAAAACAGAGACCCAAATATACATGTGCACCGGGGGTTATACCATTGTCACTCACAATTAGTTACAAGGTGGAAATCACACAAGTGTCCATGGGTAAATAGAATGGATAAATAAATGTAGAGACAAAGGGAATATCGTTCGACCTGGAATTTCTACACATGCAAAAACATGGAGGAACTATGAGCAACTTAGGAACATTATTCATAAGCCAGACCCAAAGAGCAATACAGCATGATTCCTCTCCTATGAGCTACCTAGAGTAAGCAAATGCATAGAGACAGAGAATATGATAGGAGTTTACTAGGGCTCAGAGGGAGAAACGGGGGATTGCTTAATGTGTACAGAGGTTTTGCTAGGGAAAATGAAAAAAAAGTTCTAAAAGTGGAAAATGGTGATGTTTGTACAATTTTGTGAAGGCATTTAATGCCACTGAATTATACACTTAAAAGTGGTTAAAATGGTAAATTTTACATCATGTACATTTTACCACAGTAATAATTGTAAAGAATGTGTTCCCAAACCAAAATCACCTGCATCTCCAGGGAACCAATTAGGAAGGCAAATTCTTGGGCCACACCTTAGACAATCAGAACCTCTGGAGGTAGGGCTTAGTAACCGAGATGCATGATGTCTGAGAGCCTCTGCTCTGTGATGTAAGATGGGGAGAAAAGGCTGGAGGGGAATTAGTAGTAAGATGCTTGGACCTTATCTTGCCAGTGAGGAGCTGATTCTGGATTTTAAGGAAGAAATTGACATTGTCAGATTTGTGGATTTATCTTTTTTCTAATAAGCAAATGCTTCTTGCAGAAATCTTGGAAAATTAAACAAAAATCTGAAAGCCATTGTAATGGTTTGGACCTGTAACATCCCCCAGATTTCATGGGTTGAAGCCATGGTCTCCAGTGCAGTAATTATGTCCAGAGGCGGGACTTTTAGGAGTGGGTCATAAGGGCTCTGGCCTTTTGAAAGGATTACTAGATGGTAACTGTAGGCAAGTGGGCATAGTTGAAGGAAGTATATCATTGGGGGGACCCTGAGGGACTACATCTTGTCTCTGACTCCTTCCTTCCCCTCTCTTTGCTTCCTGAGTGCCATGAGCTGAGCAGCCCCCCTCTGCTACCCACTTTGGCCATGGTGTCCAGCCTCACCTCAGGCAGGCCCAAAGCAATGGAGCCAGCTGACCGTGGACTGAACCTCTAAAATCATGACCCAGAATAAGTCTTTCCTACTCTGAAGTTGTTTTGTCAGATATTTTGGTCAGTGATGAAAAGGTGACTAACACAGTCATCCTTAATCTACCCCTGGAAGGTAACCTCTGTGATTATTTTGGTGTACTCCATTTCATTTTCGGTGCATTTGTGCACATTTTTAAAAACCCAATATGGGATCATTGTAGACATACTGGTTTGGAACCTGCCTTTTTTTCCCTTAGCAATACATCATGAACATTTTTACATGTTATAAGAACTTTTGCCATTTTTATTGACTGCAGAATTACATTTTGATAGCTTATTCTGGGAACAGTATGGAAGATGAATTTAAGGAAGAAAAGATTGAACTCCTGCAGGGATCCAACTTATGAAGCCATTGCAGTAAATCAAGCTAGCCATGATAAGGCCTAAAGCGCAACACTACAAACGGGGATAGAGCTGGGGACAGATGTGAGAACTTTTAGATTAAAAAACTTATTGATTGATAGTACATGGAGGTGATGTTTCTTGACTTGGGTGGTATTTTAAGATTTTGAATGTTGAATTGGAAAGAGTGGAGAATGGTAAGTTTAGAAGATGCTGAGCTTTGGAAAATGTTTAGTCTGAGGGGTCTGTGGGACATCCAAGTGTCAAATATAGGAATCAAGCTCAATCTGGCAAGGGTTGAGATTTATATATAAATATATATTTGGGAATTAAATGGTTTATCAACACCCAAGAGTGGAACCTTTAAGAGACAAGACCTAGTGGGAGGCCGTTAGGTAATGAGGGGTACACCCTCATGGTAATCTGGTTGGTTTCCACAATAGTGAGTTGTTATAAAAAGAGTAAGCCTCTGAAAGTGCTCCCTGAATCCCCTCTCTGGCTTTTTGTCTCACCATATGATCTGCACATATGCCTGCCATTGTGATGACATCTGCCACAAGGCCCTTAACAGAGGCCCAAACGCACAGTTATCTTCTCTTGGACTTTTAACCCCTATAACTGTGAGCTAAATAAATCTCTGCTTTATAAGATGTCTGGCCTCAGGTATTTTGTTATAGCAACAGAAAACAGATTAAAATATTTGGCCTCACCTGCAGATGTTGAGGTTCTACCATCTGTATTAACCTTACTTTATGAGTATGATTTGTGTGCTTATAATTTGTGTGCCCTGTTAGACTTGGGAGTGTAATCATCTCTGCATCCCTAGGCCTGGATGCGCAGCATCTCAATTCATGTGTAGGTTTGTAAAGGAGCGGGGGCTTTGTTGTTACCTGTCTAGGTTTCTCTCTGCCTCTTTCTCTATCCTTGCTCCTAATAAGCTCATCTCCCCAAATAACCCTACCACAGGCAGAGGCCTTTGCTTTTCTACACACCACTGTGTACACAAAGCTCAGTTTCTTCCTTAAACCTTTCATTTCATGAAGGAGATCAACCAGTTTAGCAAGTCTTATGCTTGCTTCTGATTTCATTTAGGCCTATTTGTTTTTTTATTATTTAGAAAGACTGTTCTCCCTTTGGGGCTTCTTTGTGGAAACTTCTTTGAGTGATTCTTATTTGATCTTTTCTTACCTTTTTGTATTTCTAATACTGCTGTGTTCATAGCTAAACTTGCTATGTTCTAACTGACATTTTAAAAGGGGGTTTTCTCAATGACAGAAGATTTCTCTTTGACCAACGTAACCTTTCTTCCCTAAATTCGGAAAGCAGGAAGCCCCCTTTCATCTTGACTTAAGTCAATTTAGAGGAGCCCAAGAAGCAATTTTTTTTTTTTAGTTGTCGATAGACCTTTTTTTTATTTGTTTATATGTAGTGCTGAGAATCAAACCCAGTGCTTCACACATGCCAGGCAAGTGCGCTACTGCTGAGCAACAGCCACAGCCCTGCGAGAAGCAATTTTAATTCTTGGTTTCTTTCCTTTGACTCTAAAATACTGGAAAGCCTTCCAAATCAATGTTTCGTAACAGTTCTGCACTTTGCTTAGTCCCTCATCTATTGATTTGGAATGAAAACATTGCTCTCTTAATGAAGATGGTTGTGAGAAATATAAATATATGGGTGTAAGGGGAGGGAAAGCCCATTTCCAGATTAAACTGCTGAATAAAAATAATAGAGGTATTAAATAAATATTATATAAGCCCTTGAGAAACATGTATTTCTAGAAAAAATATAAACGTGAATCATGGACTCTGTAGTTTCATCCACATTTTTAAAAAATAAAATTAGGTGAAAATACAAAGCAATTTTTCTTTACCCAGAAAAAAAATACCCTCCAAAGCAAAATGTTTATTTGAGCTATCTGGTTATTACATATCAAATGAAAATTCCAAGCGAAATGTACATTTCCCTTAAGTTAATATACTATTCTGCAGATTTTCCTATTGTCCTTGTAACATTCTAAATAAGTATACTATCTCTAACTGCAAATATTTCAGTTATCATAAAAAAGAATAGTGTACTGCACAGCTAAAATTAAATCAGTTTAAAATTCTCAGGAGTTGGGATTGTGGTTGCTTTAGTTAATGGACTAATCAAACCATAGTTTTAGATGATGTTACTGCAGTATTCTAATTACTGCAATCTGATTTCCCTTAGTAATTGTGAAGGTCAAAACTGAATGCTTGATTCAAATAGGAAATTAAAAGTTAAGAATAAAAGACAAGAAATTTTTATACCCAACATATGTCATGATAGATTATTATGTTGACCTTGTAAAGTTAAATATTTCACTATAAATTACATTGGAGTTGACTACAAAGTATGGAAACTCTGTTTCCAAATCCTTGAGAGAGTATATGTCATTAAATTGTGTTATTTTTCAAGAAAGATGATTCATTTTGTATTAAAAGCTATGTATACATTTTTATTTTATGCTTTTGTAAGATTTTCAAAGTAAAAACAGAAGCAAGAAATTTTTTGTCATATTCTGATCTGATGATTTAAAAAATATGGCTTGTTATGTACATACCAAATCTTAGCAATAAATTTATAGAGAGGCTACCAAGACTGACTATTTTAGGAAAGAACTCTTACAAAATTCCTGGTTACCTTCCTGTGCCTAAAATCCTATTAATAGGAAACAGTGTTCGTCAGTCTTTAATGAAAAATAGTATTAAAATTCAGAAATTTCCAGAGGCTATGATTGTAGCTTAGTGGTAGAGTCCTTGACTAGCTCATGTGAGGCACTGGATTCACATCTCAGCACTACATTAAAAATAAATAAACTGAAGGTATTGTGTCCGTCTATAACTAAGAACGTTTTTTAAAAAATTCCTGGATGTTATGTTATTGTTTCTAGAGGATTTTGCTGAAGTGTTTTGAGTTGAACTGTCACATCTATCACTTACTTTCAAATCACTCTTTCCTACATAGAGATAAAAGTCAATATAGCAAAATGTCAACGTTGTTGTATCTAGCTGGAAACTATATCTCCCAATTTTTCTATATTGCTAGGATCTGTAAGATATGACTAATATTTTAATATTTGTCTTTTTTTCAAAAAACATATTTTTGATAGTGCTGGGGACTGAACCCAGGATCTTGCATGTACTAGGCAAGTGCTCTATCACTGAGTTACATGCCCAGCCCTTTGAAAAGAATTTTTTAAATTTTTGATCTTGCTAATTTGCCCAGGCTAGACTCAAACTTGAAGTCTTGCCTCAGCCTTCCCAGTAGCTGGCATTATGGGTATGAACTTCCACACTTGGCTATTTTCTCAAATTTTATTATGACAAATTTAAAACATACAGAAAAATTGGGAGAGTTTCCACGTAGACGCAACAACATTGACATTTTGCTGTATTGACTTTTATCTCTATATATGAGAGAGTGATTTGAAAGTGATAGATGTGACAGTTCAACTCAAAACACTTCGGCAAAATCCTCTAGAAACAATAAATAAATAATGACCATGTCATTTTCATTCTTAAGAAATTAAATCATTTCCTGCTATTCAATACATAGGTTCAAATCTCCCCATATTCCCCTCAAAGTCTCTCATTTGTTTTTTTTCCCCCCTACACATTATCCAATAATGATCCACACCTTACAGTAGGTGATGTCTTTTAGACAATTAAATATAAAAACTATCTTTCCATTTTTTTGATGTTTTAGTTTTTTTCCATGACATTGACTTTTTTTTTTTTTAAGTTTTGGCTGTGCTGGGGATGGGACCTAGGGCTTCACACATGCTGGGCAAGCACTCTACCACCAAGCCACACTCCCAACCCAACCTTGATGTTTTGTAGACAAATAGGCCAGGGATCTTAGAGAATGTCATATTCTGGGTATATCTGGTCATTTCATCATGGTTTCATCAATCTCATTTCTCCATTTTCTAAATTTCTTACCAGTTGGAAGTCAGGTCTACCTGGAGGCTCAAGTGGCTTCAGGTCAAACATTTTCAACCAGAACCCTTCATAGGTGGCACTGGGCGTGTTACGAGAACACCTCCAGAGGCCCACAGAGTCAGCGTGAAGGACTTCTACTTATACTGACATATAAACCATTCTTAGCAGGTCCCTTTTTAGGGCCAGACTTTCATTTGAAAGCAGTTAGGCCTCAAGATTCTCAAAGTTGGCATAGAAGTTCTTTAGGGGCTCAGGGACTTTGCCAGTTTAGTGTAAGTAGCAAGACTTGAGGACTGATTAAGGTCATGACAACTGCCTCAAGACCCAACACGGATGGCAGCTGAGGGACATTGTTTCCAGGACCTCTGAGGATCTGAGGCTACTTAGGTCTCTGATATAAAATGTTACACTGAATACAACTGATATACATTGTATACTTTAAATCATCTCTAGATTATTTGTAATACAATGTAAATGCTGTGTAAATAGTTATCATACTGTAACATTTATGGACAAATGACAAGAAAATGTACATGTTCAGCATAGACAGGCTTTTAAAAAAAATTTCAATCTGTGGTTGGTTGAATTCAAGGAAATTGAACCCTCAGATATAAAGGACCGACTATTCCTGAAATGTCTATTGATCAGAGATTTAAACAAACCTGTATTCTGACAAGGCTGGTCTCAGATAGGGACAGGCATGGTGCAGTATAGCAGCTTTGACCTGGGACCTGAAACCTAGTTCTAGCCCTACCTCTGTCACCAAAAACTGTTACTGGGAATCATTTGTTTCTCTGGGCTTTCATGGATTCCCAGTTAGGGTAGAAGTCCTGTCTCAGCTGATCTAAGCTCCCATATGTTTTATAAATATTACTCTAGCACCAATATTTGGGGTGTGTGTGTGTGTGTGTGTGTGTGTGTGTGTGTGTGTGTGTGTATTTATTTTAGTGACGTAAAGAATAGCACTTTGATTTTGCTTGTTGTATTCCTTATGGAACAAACAAGAAAGTATCCATTATTTTCCTTCGGAAGCATTGCTCTTTATCCAGCTATCTAGACACTTACTGCCATCAGGGAGGGCAGAATGTGTTGTCAGAAGAGGGGCTCTTGTCTGTGGCATGACCTGCCTGCCAGGAAAGGATCAGACCTTGCATCATCCATGGGAAAAACAGAATGATGGGGCTGGGCTGCAGGTTTATTCCCTTTGGAAATGTATGCAACTTTCTGTGATTGGGAAAAAATGTAAGCTAACTTTTCCAATTATTAATGTTTGTACCGGGCTGGAATGTGAAGGGGGGAATCTGAGGTTAGGGCCCTGCTTTCTAACCCCCTAATCTGGGAAAGCTCTGGGCCAGTGTCCTGACCTCTCCAACTTCAGAAGGAAAGTGGGTCTGGGAGGCTCCCGCCTCACCCTGCAGTCCTGCAAAAGTCCTGACCACAGGAAGCAGAAAAGCTTCGCCCTTCCTTGCTCTCACCCATCCCACCCACCCACTCACATCCCCTTGATAAACTCTGGCTCTGTGTGCAAGGGTAGGGAAGAGCTGGCTTGTCTCTGTTCTTTTTTTATAACAAATTCTACATTCTGAGTGCAGGCGTAAGAGGGTTTAAGCATTGGCTAATGGGAGGAGATGGAGTTGGGGAATAAGGATACAGAAAGATAAACCTGGAGAAGAAAATGAAAGTAGTGGAAAGTGTTGTTGCGAGAATTTTCCTCCTACTAATTTAGGGTCCAGTGGTGAAGGTTGCAAATTAACTCACAATACATGGATTAATGGAGAAAATTGTAATTCACATGCATGTAGGATCATTCAAATGTAGAGAATGGATGAACAGCTAAGGACAAAAGTTTGTGCACGAACTTAATAAGGAGACAGGAAGAGAAACAAACAGCTTTTAGGTGAATAAATGAGAAGTACTACCATTTGGTTGATGCAATTTCTTACCCAGCTGCTCTTAGTCTCCTTTCTTGCTGGAAGTTCCCCAGAGAAGAGACTTAGGGCAGCTTTACTTCTTGGAAGGCTACATAAGGGAAGCTCAGAAAAGGTTTCTTTCTGCATTCATTGTATTTCAAACGTGGTTAGTTTTAAGTAATTTTTAGACCATTTTAGGATTGTGAGACCCTACAAGTCAAGAATGTGAGGCACCTGTAAGGTCAAAAGGGAAACAGAGTTTCCTTTTCTGAGCTTCCAGCCAATGTGTTAGGGAACCGACAGATGTAAATAGTGTGAACACGTGGTTAATAGAGTAATTCCATAAAATGGGCCCACTGTGCTGATGCCCATAAGCTTTTTTTTTTTTTTTTTTTAATTCCCAAGAAGCGAACAGGATTATGTCACATTTTTCAGCAAAATACCAGTTAACTGCAGGAGAAATTGCAGGCTTGAGATAATATCAACAGAAGGAACCCAGGAGACTTTTGTGACCAGATTCTGAAACTCAGAGAGATACGAATAATTTCTCCTAACAACAGAATCTGTAAAGAATGTATGGTTAAGAATCCAATTAGAACCAGTTAGCACGGGCCAAGGTGACCAAGAGTTGCCATGGCAGTGGGTATTTGAAAGTCCCATGTCATCTTGCTGTCAGTCAAAAGTCAAGAGGTGGACCTGGGAGGGACCCTCTGGAAACTTCCCCAGGATGCCCAGTAAAACTGAAGTGCAGGGGAGGCACATTGTCCCTCTCCTCTCTGAGACGACCCACTCTTTCCCTTGAGAATGTCCCCTTCCCCTTTTCCTATTCCTTCAATAAAAGTCCACCTATACCTCTGAGCGACATGTCTGAAATTTTTCTGACATGGTTGCAAGAATTGGGGTACGACAGGGGGACATTGCATTGCCTCAGGTTCTCAGAAGGCCCCAGGTCTGTAACAATTGAATACTATCTTGCCCCACCTTCACTGGGGCAAAAGAAAATACTGATTTATTTGTAGTTTCTACCATTTAAAAAAAATCAAGGGATTTAGGAAACTTCTATATTAAGTTTATTTCATTTGATTTCTTTGGGTGAATAATCAGGCCGTATCCTTAGTCACTGGATGAGGGTGGGCAGATGGAGGGATGAGGACAGTTGGAGGAATACAGTTGGGAGCCTGGCCCACTGCATCAAAAGGGAGAGACAAACAATTAAACTAAGCAGTGTTTAAAGAGCACTGAGTCTCTGAAATTTAAGTTCTGGAATCCAAGTTTTCTGGCCTTTAGGGCATTGAGCAAAATCTACACGGTTAGTTAGGCGTTTGGTAGATGGACGTGGGAGGATTGGATTAGAACATAAAAAAAGCTTGGTAAGTTGTTCTTGAGTATAATTTACTTAATTGTTTCTGGCCTGGTAAGTATACCCAGAGGCTTTATATTGATGCATGTGATTCAACAAAAACAAAAAACAATAAGATCTTCATCGACTTGTGGTTTAATGGCTTTAAATAAATTAACTTCTTTTGGATCAATTCAGCACACTGATGATATTTGCAATCTATTAACTTTTTTATAATACTTTTCCCCTTAGACACAACTTTAATATGTAACTTTGGAGAAATCATTTTACATCCATCAAGCAAAGGTATTGTTTTCTACATGCAGAGAACTTCAAAATGCATAGTCATGCACATAAAAAAAAAAAAAAGCATCTATAAAAAAGGCTGGGCCCCAGCCCCAGATTCCAATTTGAGAGTTAGACTCTCATGCCAATTATCAATTGAAATAGAATCTGTTTTATAAAAAAAAAAAAGAAAGGAATTTGATGAAAGGTGAAGGAAGAGTATGTTTTATGGGTGAGCAGTCAGTTGTGAAACAAATTGTGTAACTACTATAGATTGGATTGTGTCCCCCACATGCCCAATGCATATATCTCAACCCTCAATGTGATTATTTTTGGAAGATAGGGCTTTAGGAGGTAATTAAGGTTAAAGAGGTGGTAAAAGTGGGGTACTGATCCAGTAGGAATGCATGTTCTCACACATGCATGGAAGGAGAGAAGGCACTGTTGGCAAGTCAGGAAGAGAGCCCACACCAGAAACCCAATCATCTGGCTCCTTGATCTTGGACTTCCTAACCTCTGAACTGTGAAAATATTAACTTCTGATTGTCAATTTTAGTCTATGATATTTTGTTATGGCAGCTCAAGCAGACTAATACAGTAAATCGGAGCAAGTTACTCAGTGTTTCTGGACCTCCATATCCTAATATGTAAAACTTGTGGATCAGGCTAAATAAGCCTAAGTTTTCTTCATGCTCTAACTGAAATAGTTTTGGCTTCAGAAGACAGTCAAAAATATTTGTATTTTTTTTAAACTTGAGTTTCAAATTCTCAGAAAAGTTACAAGATGGCAAAGATAAAGAAGTTCAACACAGATTTTACCCAGATTCATCAACTTTTAATATTTTCCCTATTTGTTGTTTCATATTTTCTTTCTCTGTGTATGTATTTACATATATTATGCACACATTTATTTATTTTCTGAACCATTTAAGAGTTGATTATCCTTGAATACTTTAGTATTTCCTAAAAATAGACAGTTTTTTGCCCATGGCTGCCAACTTCATGCAACTTAACAATAATATAACATTTATCTGATCTACAACCCATGCTCCAGTTTCAAGAATTGTCCCAATAATATCCTTTAAGACATTTCCCTCCGGAGTAAAACCAGTACAGGTTGAGACACTGCAATGGGCTGTCATGTCTCTTTAGCCAGCTTTCAGAGGGGGCAGGTCCTCAGCTTTGCTTTCATGATCTTAATACTTTTTGGTGAATACAGGCTAAAATGACCTTTATTTGGGTTTTGTTTGATGTTACCTCCTGATTAAATTCAGCTTTTGTACCCCTGGCTGGATACTCTTAAGTGTATGTCCTTTTTAGGGCATCACATTAGGAAGTGCATGCTATTTTTTTTTTTTTTTTTGGACCAGAGATTAAACTCCACAGGGGTGCTTAACCACTGAGCCACAACCCCAGTCCTTTTTTTTTTTGGCGAGGTGGATATTGGAGTTTGAATTCAGGGGCACTCAAACACTGAGCCACATCCCCAGCCCTATTTTGTATTTTATTCAGAGACAGTGCCTCACTGTTGCTGAGGCTGGCTTTGAACTTGCAATCCTCCTGTCTCAGCCTCCACAGCCACTGGGATTACAGGTATGCACCACTTGCTGGGTTTTTTTTGTTGTTGTTGTTGTTTGTTTGTTTTTGTTTTTGAGACAGGGTCCTGCTAAATTTCTTAGGGTCTGGCCAAATTGCTGAGGCTGGCTTTGAGCTTGCAATCCTCCCGCCTCAGCCTCCAGAGCCACTGGGATACAGGCATGAGCCACCATGACTCCCCCTTGTAGTTATTAAACAAACTATGGAGAGACACCTTGGAGCCATGAGCTGGTGGCCTCATAAAAACTTCCTACCCCAGACTTAACATCCACTGATGATTCTTGGATGAATCAATCTTTACTGGTGTTTGGAAAATGGTGATTTCCAGAGCCATCACTCCCTCCACATTTATCATTTGACCCAACTCAGTCAGGTACAAGCAAAAGCCCTCACTTGGCCCTCACCTCCCTTCCTAGATATTGGACTTGTATTCATGGGTTGATTCTCATTTTACTTAATCCCTTTATTCTCCTTGTTTATTGTGATGTTCAGAAAGTCCCAGTTTGGGCCCACAGGAGCCATTTAAACTGACTCTTTGTCCTTTTCATATACCTACATCATATTTTTAACCCTTTTGAGAAATACTGAATAATTAATAGCAGAGACAAATAAAAATAAGTGCTCTGTGTGTCTACATGCTATGGGGTCCCAGGAGCAAAGTTAAGGGCAGATAATAAGTTGACAGCAGTTCAAAAGTTGATCAGATGTTTTACCCATATACAATGTACTCTCTTTACTTTTATTAGATCTACATAGTTAGTTCTCATAATTAGTTTTCATAGTTCTCATAGGTAATTAGGTTGGAGCTGGCCAAAATCCTTGGGCTAATTGGGAAGACAGAACTGCAGCTTACAGAAAGTTTTTTTTTTTCTTCAACTTGGCGTCTTCTTCAATATTCTTACCCTTATTTTGAATGCCAACATCTTTATCATCTGACCATTCTTACTGTGACACATGTGCCCACATTTTTGCTTCACTTAGCGCATGATACTTGGTCTCCACAGATGCTCTGGCAGGTACCTCTTCTTGCCTCTGCAACTGAGTAAAGCAAAGTTTTCTCCCCAACTCTAACAATTTTCATTCACGAACTTTCTGTGCTCACAATGTTCTTAGTGTCTTGGTATTTTTCCTAACGTCCCCAGGCCAAAAGAAATACCCAACACTTCCTTTTATTAAAAACTTGGGCCCAAACAGCTTAATAAGTATTTATGTCCCACAGCTATGTAGCCTCTTGAAAAAAAATTATACACATAAATTGAAAGAAATGTTGTATTTTCATTCAATTCTTAACCACAATTACTTATCATTGGGATGTGTGTGCACCTTGGGTGCAAAACTTCTCAGGCCAATTTCACAATTTCTCAAGGAAAAAGATTTGCTACCTCAACTTGAATTTCCTAATTCCCATTGGTTTTCATGGGCACTTGCTCTTTATCATGACTGTAGACAGCCTAGCTTTTGCAAAGAGATGGCATCCCCGAAAGAAATGTAGAGTGACCGATTGCTGAAGCTATCAATTGCCTGAAACTTTGCAGTGTCCCCAAGGTGTTGAATATGGCTGTTTTTGTAAGGTATTCTGTAGAATCCCTGTGGATTTACTGCAGTAATCCAGGACACATGGCTAAATAGTTTGAGAACTGCTATAGTTTCAACCTATGGTATCCTCCAAAGACACATGTGTTAAAGGCTTGTTCCCCAAAATGGAGCTATTGGGAAGTGATAGACCTATAAGAGGCAGGGCCTAGAGAGAGGTCTTCTGGTCATTGGCAACCTACCCTTTAAGAGAATAGTGAGACCCACCTCTTCATCATGGTCATGAGGTAAATGGGCTTCCTCTTCATGTGCTCCCACCATAATGCACTGCCACTCCCAAAGCCATGAGTCCACCAACCATGCACTGAAACTTCCAATAATGTCCGCCAAAATAAACCTTTTTGTTTTAAAGAGAGAGAGAATTTTTTAATATTTATTTTTTAGTTTTCGGGGGACACAACATCTTTATTTGTATGTGGGCTGAGGATTGAACCCAGCACTGCGCGCATGGCAGGCAATCATGCTACCGCTTGAGCCACATCCCCAGCCCCACAGGGCTAAGTCCCAGAAACTTTCAGTTTCCTTTGTAAAATAACAACAGCAAATATTTGCTTGGTATTAAAAATCTTTGAGCTGATCATGAAACCTGTGTAGTTCATTGTATGATAGCAAACTGAAGCTCTTTTCCACAGTGTTTATAAATCAGCCCACTATACTATTTATGTTCTGGTCATTCCAGGGCATTTTAAACTTTTAACAGTGAAAGAGGCACTACCATAGTGGGATTCTGGGACAATACATGTAATAAGGAATATCCTGGGAAAACCAGGACACTGTAGCACCCAGCTTACCCATGACATGCAACACAACCTTACATTCTGAAATCAACCTTTACTCAGCATATGATCCCTATTACAATGTAGTTTCTATTGTTTCATAATTTGCCACAGGATCTTATTAAATTGTAAAGACAATGTTATTGGTTACACTTTTTCTTCTTCATGTGTCTCTTACTCCTGTTCCTCCATTTCCCCTTAGACCAAGCACTTTTTCTTACCTCCTGTTCCCACCCCAAATCCCATCTAAAGTTACCTGCCACTTTCTTAGTTACCTAGGGTTTGATTTTCCAGCTACTGGTTTGCTTGTGTGGCTAGCAGATCAAGAAAGGGCAACGCTATGACCTGGATCTCATGTCTATTATTGACCCCGTCCATTGACATTCATCCAAATACGTATTTTCAGGAGAGACTTCCTAGATTAGATGTTAACCTGAAGACATGAATTATAAAATCTAGGAAGTTCAGGTACGCATGATTCAATCCAGGCAGGCAGTTAACAGTAAAGAGTCGCCAACTGGGAACCCAAAGAGTCATTGAAAAGAATTCAAGTCTTTCCTGCAGTATTTTCAGAATGTGAAGGGGACATTGTGAACATGTAAGAAAACCTGTAAAACTCTTCTTTCTCTGCTTCCTTTTAAATGTAGGATATTAAGGCGACTACCCCAGACTTCTTCCACTCTAAAGCTCCCTAAACCTCTGAACTTCTCTAGCTCCAAATTCTCTTGGGTCTCTGCCGCCTTTACCCACTGACTTCTAAATCTCAGGCTCTTTGTGTTTGGATATGGCACAACCAAGGAACTCAGAGAGAGACTCTTCCAGAAGGGGAGGAGAACTGGTGGTAACAACGGAGACTGCAGATGCTTCCAATTTACTTTTTCTTTCCCCTTTGAATCCATCCATCCATTCATCCAAATTGGTTGAGAAGCTTCCACTTTAATGCAAAGCTCTAATGAGCAGGTTAAAAGGGCGGTAAAGTGAAAGATCCTATGCCTTGAGATAAATCCAATTTAATTGGAGAGGATGAAAAACAGAACATAACAATAGGATGTTGGGAGTTGCAGAATGTCCTAGCTTGGCACTTAATGGGTACTTGAGGAATATTTGCGACTTGGGTTAAGAAGTAGCACTGACATTTGAGTACTCGCCCTTCGTGAGCTGCGCTAGCTTTTGCCAAGCAGGCTCCACTCAAAGAGATGATAATTAAGGCGGGCGCTCCCGCACCCAGGTGCACCGGAGGGTGCAAACTCCGCACCGGAGGCGGGCGGACCGCTATTCTTGCCTCTGAGGCCCTGTCCACTCCATACAATAGTTTTGCGCCAACACCGCTCGTCGGGGGGACCCTGGAACTTTCCCGCACGGTGACGCACGTGTAGCAGGGAATCGGCTCCCTGGGACCCCCAGTTCCAGTCCCCGGGAGCCATCGCCCGGGCTGCGGGCGCGGAGGTGGAGCGCGTCGGATCCGGGATGGGGAATGGCGGGCGGGAGGGCGGTTACCGTGGAGCAGGACAAAGAAATCGCGGAACTTTGCAAGTGCTCATTAGAAAATGCAAGTGTGACAATTGGACGTGGAGTGCTCAGTAATAGCTTAGCCCAAGAGCCCTGCGGAAGGCGCCGAAATAGCTCAGTTGGGAGAGCGTTAGACTGAAGATCTAAAGGTCCCTGGTTCGATCCCGGGTTTCGGCAGTCGGGTTTTTAGTTTTAATCTGAAAGACTCAAATTTCATAAAACCCCCCACGTCCAGAGTACCCTGGTGTATTCATCCCAGTCTACGAAAGAATGAGGACGAGAGGGCGGCAGAGGAACAGACACCGCGGTTCTCACCCAGGAGGAACGGCAGCCCCTCGGCACCGCCACTTCCGGGTCCCTCTTCGCCGCGTCCGAGGCACTGGCGCGCGTGCGCGGTGGGGAGCCCGGGCGCCGTTAGGGCGGCCCCTCTGCTCGGGAGACCCGGACGTCCCGCCCCCTGGCGCGCGCCGCCGCCGCCCGGCCCTGGCCTCGGGCGCGCGCGTGGATCGACGGGGCGGACTGGACGGGGTGGGCTGGCAGGTTGCTAGGAAGGAAGCCCCGTCTGTGTGAGTCCGCACTGTAGGCTGGGGCGACAGGACAGCTGCGTCCCCAGTTTCATTCCATTCCGTTCCCGGAAAGCATCTGCCTTTGAAGAAACAGCCAAACCCTCCCGCACACTCAAAGGGGCCCTCTGGCCTGGCCCAGGAAGGGGACCCGATTCTGGCTAGAGGGCCAGGAGCTCTGGCTTTGGTGGCCTAACCACATTTACTCGTCCAGTGGTAAAAGAGTGGCAGCTCGACAGCCCCTGACCCCTTTTTTTTCCCCTCTTTTTAAGAGAGAGAGAGAGAATATTTTTTGATATTTATTTTCTAGTTTTAAGCGGACACAACATCTTCGTCTGTATGTGGTGCTGAGGATCGAACCCTGGCCGCTCGCATGCCAGGAGACCGCGCTACCGCTGGAGCCACATCCCAGCCCCCGACCTTTTAAACTAAGCAGAACCAGAGATTCTTTAAAGTGTGAGCAGCAGCAGCAGCAGCAGCAGCAGCAGCAGCAAGAACAGCAGCAGCAAGAGCAGCACCGCCTGGGAACTAGTTAGAAATGTGAAATCTGGGCCCTGTACCTGGCATACTAAACCTGTACCCAACATCAGGTGTTCAAACCAATTCACTAGGGAGTTCTCATGTAGCTCAAGTTTGAGATCCACTGATCCACACTTTCCTTTTTATACTAGCATTTTCGTTTGCTGTCCTTTGTGCTACAAGTGTGAACTAAAACTCGGATGCACACTTAGTTTCTGAGTGTTTTACCTTTAACTTTGTGTGGGAAGCCGGTAGGGTACACGAGGGCATCAACTTCCCCAGCTATCCCATAGGAGCCCACACCCCAGGACAAAACAGGAATTGAGAAGTAAACTGGAAGCGTAGCTCTTAATTTTATGTTGTGTGACCCGGGAACTGAGCCAGGATCCAAGGACAGAAATTGCAGGGATGTAGATTTGAATTAAAGGAAGAGGAAATTTCAATCTATTGGAATCACTAGAAAATGAACTAATCGGGTGAGCAGATGCAGATGAAAGATAGTCAGTTATGGGATTTATGCAATGGACTGGCTTATTTTCTGTTTTGTTGTTTTGAAAGATTTACGAAGTACCATGTGCTCTCTGCCATTCATTCCCTCATTAATTGACCACGACCTCCAGATATGTGCTGGGCATTATTTGCTGTCACTACCAGCCTGTGCAGTAGTTGTCATCATCCTCATTGTACATATAACAGCCATTCTGGAACTGCAAGGATTAAACCTGGGTTAATCAGTTTTTTGTGCTCTGATGAGAACAACTTAGAAGAGGAAAGGTTTATTTTGGCTAATGGTTTCAGAGGTTCCATCCATGATTGGAAACATCATGGCAGAAGGGTGTGGCAGAGTAAAGCTGCTCACCTCAACATAGCCAGGTGAAAAGTTTGTGAGTAACTAGGGACAACAGATAGCCCCCAAGTACACATCCTCAGTTACCTATATCCTGCAACCCTGCTCCCCCTGCCTATAGTTACCATACAATAGTCTACTCCAATGATTAATCCATCAAATGGATTAATACACTGAGGAGATTACAGCTCTCATGATTCAGTCTTTTCACTTCTGAAATTTTCACTGCATTGACTAACATGTGAACTTCTTGGGGGAACATTCTTATTTCCAAACCATAACATAACATAATACACTTCTGGCATCTTAATTGCTGCTACCTCCTGAATGATTCCATGTGTAATTAATTGTAGGAATGGGAAGTTAAGGCCTGTGTGCTTCAACTTGGGGGTAGTTACACAAGAGGACTACAAGCCTTTGGTTAATCAGAGAGGGTTTTATGGGGGAGTGGGTCTTGACTAGTGGGTCTTCTCACACAGAGAAAGATTTCTTAAATATGAAAAAACTTAACTGCAATGCAACTGGCTACCAGGGGTCTAACAGTGGGAGCTGAGGGTGACAGGTCCTGTTCCTTTCAGACAACCAAACAGGCCTAAGCACCCTGGCTGAGAGATTATGTAAGACCAGGCACTAGCTACTGGTGTTATGGGGGAAGGCTGCAGGCATGCACCTGGTTTTGTCAAAGATAAACAAAGCCAGACACTAGTTAATCTGTAAGGACAGCTTTTAATCAGTAATAATAATAATTACATAAGCAATAATAATTGCAGTAAAGAAGAGGGTCTGGCAGGGAACTGAACTCCCACTTTTACAGAGGTGACAGTGCCTTTTAAAAGAGAGAATGAAGGATTAGGGGAAAGGACTAGGGGAAGCTTAGGCAATCAGGGAAGTGAAAAATTTCAAAGGGTTGGTCACTGTAAATGCTGATTAGGGCAGCTGTGTCTGTTGGATGGTAATTATTGAGGTTAGGATTCAATCCTCCCACAGAGACTGAGAGAGACAGGCCCTATCCTTGTGGAGGATACATTTCAAAGGAATGGCTTTCAGGTCCTTGAGAAAGACATTCTCTGAGTAGTGCAGATACGCAAACATCTCAAAGGGACAGAGGAAGGATTCACAATTGTAAGCCCTTTTTAGTTAAAGCTCTGAGAAAATGATCTGGGGCCTAGTTCCGATGTTGGATCGATTTTTTTTTTTCCTCCCAGCAACCTTGGGTTTCCTGGCACTGTAAGGGGTTAGGGTCATCCTAGGGATTTGGCCTTGAGCTGTTAGAAACTACATTAGTCTTTTCATGTAGGAGGAAGGCGGTAGACAAAATCATTTGTTCTGAGAGTGGGTAGTTTAAAGACCAGGTTGAGGCCTGGTGGGGAAGCCTGACTGGTGTTTAGGAGAGAATCTTTATCGTTAGAAGTCTGAGGAGGGGCGAAGGCAGGTGGTTAGGCAGGCCTCCACGGGAAGAGTGGAGGTGAAGGGTTTCTTAAGGCCATGTGACAGGGAGGAATGAATGATCAGAAAGCAAGTCGCTAGCATCACACACACACACAGGCAAAATAAAGGAAGACCAACCAAGGCAATACAAAAGCAAAGACTGCTGTTTAAGTGGGTCATAGCCTGACCTAAAGGCTGTAGCATGGGGACCGCCACCATCACTTGAATTTGGCAAGATTTAAAGGTGGGCAGGAGAGTGGGAGAGCACAGGTATAAAAGGGGCAACTTCAGGAAGCTCTTGGCCTGGGGAAACTGAGGCGGCTTAGTAGAAGCAGGGCAGCCTCTTTGATTGGTTAGAGGAGCATATTTGGCTCTCTCTAACTGGTCCTGAATTGGAAGTGGGAACAGAAATTAGGAAAGCTGTGGGTTATTGATCTAATTCTGTCCATTTGGGGCCAATTGTTGCAGAAATCTTTTGTTTCACCTCCTGAATTACTGTTGGAGGTGATAACATGGCTCCCTGCAAGGCTGACTTCCAGGGCTGGGTTTTGTAGATACGGCATGGTGGTGTGTGTCCTAAGCAGGCTGCTCTAGATTGTGTCAGAGTTCTATTTTTATAGACTATTTTATAGTGTGACCATGGCCCATTTCTCTACTCGGTCTCTCAATACATATTTTATGAAGAGGTAATGTCTAAAAATGTAATCTGATAATTTTTTTTTTCTTTCCCTGTGGTATGGCCTGCGCTGGTAGATATCAAACACTGTCACCTCTCAGAAGAAAGGACCAAAAAAGATGGAACTGAGGCAGGAGTTAAGCAGAAATGGGGACCTTGGAGAATGGGCTCCCACCACCCCAGATCAACACCCTCGGTTAAGGCCTGTCTTATTGTTTGATTTTGGCTGTCTTACTGGAGGGCCCCTCTCACTCTTGGATGCTCATAAATTCTGTTGTCATCTCAGGTTTCCTGGACTACCCTAACAGTCAACCCTAGAGAGTTGTTTTGAACTCAAGCAATTCTTTTGTTTTAAGGAACAAATATAGGACAAACTCTGCCTAACATTAGACCATCTCATTATGGGAATAAGAAATTAAAATTTCATTCTTTTAATTGAGTCAGAAAAAGAAAACAATCAAGATATACTTTCCAATGAAAGGTTAATTCCTCATCAAACAGTATAAAAATCCAGACAGCCACCAACTCTTTGGGACCTCTGTCATGCGATAGGTGCTTTCCTTGCTGGCTTCTAATAAATATGCTACTGAATTCTCACCCTCTGTCGTCTGTGTACTTCATTCTTCAGGTGCATGCAAACAAGAACCCTCCAGGGCTCATAGGACCCTGTGTTACAGAATGTCACATGTCCCCCAGGAGCCCCACTGACGCCATACAGCTCTGCCATAGTGCTTTGTAACTGAGGAAGCTGTGAAGGGTGGAAGTGTAGAGTCAGCTCTGACTTTAGAAGAGACAAGCTTTCAGTGGAAAGAACACCACTGTCATTAAACATTCATAGGTGTTAATGCTCAGCTCAGCTAGTTTATCAGCAGGAGGGTAGTGACCGCTTCCGCTTGCTTTGGTCAGTTTATCCAGGGTTGAAGAGGGTTGAAATCTCCTTAAATTTCCTTACAAAGCTTTTTAGAAAGAAACCTGGGACATCTGGCTCACCTAAAGAATTTCTAAGGCAACATGCAAGCATATCCCTGAGTAAATGTTTCCTTCTTCATCATTCTGGGTTCTTTATTCATTTTAAGCCAGAGCTATGATACAGTGAAGCCATTATAATTGTTACACACAGTAAAACTAGATGAGCATTCAATTATTCATTGAGGCCCTTCATGTAATAATGTGTACATACATTAATGCCCATTTTATTAGTCTTGGATCACAGTTCTACTCTTTAAAATGGATCATGGTTTAGAGTCATTTACCTTCATGCTGTAATATTTGTCATATCTCAGATTTGTTTGATATGAGAAACTTAGCTAGAAATACAACTCCCACTTGGATTTGTCTCAGATTCCAGGAATAGGGCTGTGGTTGTGGCTCAGTGGTAG